CTCAAAAAAAATCCTAATCTTTCTAATATGAGGTTTTAACGGTCCTAAGAGATATTTTGTGATTAATTGAGTTTTCTAGAACTAAAATAGCTAAGTTATAAGAAGTTTTTGTAAGGAATTAGGTTAAAGACGCTACAATACTTGTTGCCAAAAGAGTCGATTCCGTAATTGTTGTTGTTGGCCTTGACTTATCACAAGAAAAATGAATACAATCTTCTTTGTCCCTTTAATTTCTTTTTAGATATAGTTTCTTTTACCATTTTTTTTTTGTTTTCTCTCTTTCGATTGTTCCTTTTTTCCTCTCTTTATGTTCGGTTTTATAGATTATTCTTATGATAATCTATAAAAGAAGAAAAAAATGATGTGGATAAAAAAATATGATGTGGCAAAAAAGTGTCTTTTTTTAGAAATAAGTTTAAAAGTATCCCAGTTAAGGAATAAAGATTTAAAAATGTATTGATTTGGAAAAAAACTTCGAGGATAGTGTTAAAAAAATCATTTTAATCAACAAAAAAAAGTATAACGAGGATAGTGTCAAATAACTATCTCAACCTAAAAGTTTAGGTTTAAAACTTGGACATCATCACTACTACTTTATACTTAATTATTTAATTAGAAAAACAAGTATTAGTGAGAGATTCAAACTCTTGATCGTTTTGTCATCAAGGTCGGGATGAGAAAAGTTTGTTATAAATCAAAAAATTAAACTGAACCGAATCAAAATATCAATTTTAGTTTGGTTTTAGATTATAATTTCTTTTACAAAAGTTCAAACTGCAAAAATTAAAATTATTTCCGTTCGGCTTGGTTTTAAAATTTTTTAATTCGGTTTAAACCAAAAACCAAAGTATTTAAAGGAGAAAAAAACCTAAGTCTTTGACCCTAAGATACAAGCTTTTCATTTCAACTTTCAAGCATTCTTTTGGCCGTAACCCCGTATGTTTTTTCCACCTCAACAACACAACACCCAATCCTCACCACCCACCTCTTAGTCCTTCGCCTCCTCCTCATCCTCGCTAGTCACCCCCTTTATCCTCCTGTTACTATTCTTCCTCTACTCATGAGTCGTCAAGAATCAATATCGTAATAATCCTCCTCATCCTACTTCACTCACCGAAAGTCACCCACGTTCCTTTGCTTTCTTGCCACGACTTCGCCTTTTTCACTCGTTTGAGCTCTCCTTAAGACAAGAAAAGGTTGTTTTTTTTTTTACTCCTTTTCTTTTTCTTTTTAGTTTTAATACATGAGTTTTTTTTTAATGGCTTTTTTTCCTTTAATTTTAAGAGATAGGTTTTCTTCTTTTTTCTTTAATTTGATTTTATTTTTCTATTGTTTCATTTTTCCATTTTCTACAAGTCTTAAATTAATTTTTATGAAATTTATGCTTCACAATAAATTATTTATCAATATTCTCTCTAGGTCTCATGTTTTATCCTATCAAGAACCTTGAAAACTTAGGTTCTTCTCATTGCTTCGAAGATACTTCTCTGCCTTTTTTACATATGCTCTATTCCTCTTAAGCCTAGGATTCTTGTGTACCATGATATGCAAGGAGGTTATGTTGATGAGAAGTGTATTTGAGGAATGAGTAATCCTAGTGCTTATGCAATTTGGCATTGGTATTTGATTGATGTGTTCATTTACTTTTCACGTAATTTGGTTAGTTTGCCTCCTTTTTGTTGGACCAATATTGCTCACCAACATGGTGTTAAGATTTCGACACTTAAGACTTGTAATGGTTTTGACATTCACCGACATAAGTTATGATTCTTATTTTGATGTATGATTGTGCTTGTGTTTTAAAAAACCAAGGTGTTAGATACTTTCATCATAAAATAGGATGAAGGAAAAACTTTTTGCAATAAATTGCTCATATATACGTTGAGTTGTCTGTTAGAATTTGTTGTTAGTTTGGTTTTGATGAATAGGCTGGTAATTGCTAATACGGAGGTTGAGTTGGACTTGGGGAATACTTTTAATTTGGGTTTACCCACATTCAATTTTTTTATCGAGACTCTTTACGATTTTTTAGTTTGATCGAAACCACTTTAATTTTACAAATTTATTGATTCAAACTTGTCGTTAACTATTCATTCTATATAGCGGGTTAAAACTAATGGTAACCAATAAAGCATGGACATGTGACTCTTTAATGTTTTAATATATGTTCAAAAAAAAAAAAAACTTTAATTAAAAATATTTTTATTGTTAAACTAATTTTTAGTATATAAAAATAAATAGCAAAAGATGAAGTCGTCCTCACCCTATTATAGCAACCAAACTCGGCTTTTCTCTCTCCATATTATTGAACCCTAATCTGCTTGTGAAACTCATTCTCCCATTCTCTCTATCTCAAAACCCAAAAATCCTTAAATCCTAATGTCTCAAAATTACTAAATCCCTAAACCACTAAAATTTTGTTAACCCAAACACCAATGAGGTTTTTTTGTTTTTTTTTTTTATATGAACCTCTTCTCTCCATTAGAGGAAAATATAAATCCCAAAATCTAAAATCTCTAATTTCAACTTTGTTTGTATTTTCATCATCCTACGAGGCGAGCTAAAACCAACGATAACCAATCAAGCATGGACATGTGAGTCTTAAATGTTTTAACTTATGTTCAAAAATAAAAATACTTTAATTAAAAATATTTATATTATTAAACTAATGTTTAGTAGATAAAAATAAATAGTAAAAGATGAAGTCGCCTTCACCCTATTATACCAACCAAACTCGGCTTTTTTCTTCTTCATATGATTGAGCCCTAATTTGCATGTGAAAATCATTCTACCATTCGCTCTATTTCAAAACCCAAAAATCCTTAAATCCTAACATCTCAAAATTCATAAATCCCTAAACCACTAAAATTTCGTTAACCCAAACATCAATCATTTTTCTTTTCGAACCTCTTCTCTCTATTAGAGGAAAATATAAATCTCTAAAATCCCAAAATCCGAAAATATAAATCTCTAAAATCCCAAAATCTAAAATCTCCGATTTCAACTTTGTTCGTATTTTCATCATCTTCTTGAAATCCAAGAAAGTGCTCTTTGCATGAATCCCGGAGATGGAGAAAATAGCTATGCCAAAAATTCATTTCTTCAGGTCTCTCTCTCTCTTTCTTTTTCACAAACACTTTTTTTTGTACAAACAATTCATTCTTTCTTTTGTCCCTTTAATTATTTATCGATGAGACAAGGAAAAAAAATCATGAATACTTATTTACTCCCTTTTGCTTACAATAATTTATTATTCAAAGTTTTTCGGAGAGGGAGGAATTCGTTAGCTCAAGAATTTCTGTAGATAAAAAATTGATATCTGCAAACTAATCCTTTTTAATTCACAAATGAGCCCTATAAAAAATTAGTATTGTAGTAAAATCTAGAATAAAATTCATTATACAAATACAATTATACGAACAAAATGGTTTTCATCAATTCAAGAGCTTTTTTACCTTGTCTTTACGTGATAAGAAGATCGATGAAGAACTTTCTTGACTGGAGGAGTTTAGTTGTTGTTGCATTTTGGGAACATAACTTCTAAACTGGAAAAAAAGCCCACGACCCAAATAAAAAGAACAATAAGGAATTAGAATAAAAAGTTTCTTGGATCTGAACCCGCTCCCCGTATCTGTTTAGAACTTGGACCGGACCCGTATCGGCTTTTTTAAATCTCGTGGCGGTTGATGATTGTAAATTCAGCCAAATATAAGGGTGGGTAATCAAGGGAAACGAAAAATACCACGAGCACGAAAACGCTCCCTACGTAACTTCAACTCGTTTCACAGATCAAAATCTACACTCCTATTTTGCTCATAAACCCTAGCACTTGATACTCTCGCCTAGAGAGATCTGAAATTTCTTGATTTCCTCGTTAATTCCTCACTGAATTCTTTCTCTGCCAACTGCAAGTAATCCTTCTTCCTCTTCTGTCTCATACACTTCGTGCAATTACGTCCTTGTATTTTCTTTACTCTGTTTGCTCACTTGGATAACTGATTGCGAAAATTGAAAACTCGAAATAATGTGCGTATCGTCTCTTGTTCGGTTACTCAAATAAGAATTTTTTTCTTGGCATTCCAAACGGTTCTTGATTAACATTCTGTTACGTAAGAATAATTATGCTATGTCTCTTTATTACTTACGAAATTTGGGTTTATTATCTAGGTTTTGATTTCGTATGGTGCAGACAATTAATTGGCATTCTTGATTCTATCTGGCACATTTGTTTAATTACTATTCGGCGCTGGCTGTCTGTTTGTCATGATGAGTGGCAGCTACAATCAAAACTGATGCATGCTGTTGCTTTGTTTGTGCCTTTTTTTTTTTTTTTTTTTTTAATTTTAAGCGACGGATTTCTGTCTTTAATTGCATGCTTTTGATTTCTGCAGTTGTTGATAAGGTTTACGCACGTGCTGGAATGGCGAATAATCCTCAATCTTCTGGTGGACAGGTAGATATAAAAAATCCGGTTCAACTTTTATTTCTTTAGTGTCATAATCTGAAATCTCTCTCAAGATGGTCTGCTTGTAATAAACAGCTTTTTATTTTTATTTTTTCCTTGTGCTTGTGTGTACCATATCTCCATAATAGTATTGAGAGTTTGAAAAATGTAAGCTAGCTTTTGTTTTGATCAACATTAGAGGTCATTTTTTTGTAGCAGTGGACCATCTTCAGGGTTTGTTTAAATAATTGGAAAAGGTTATAATTCAAACATTTCTTTTAGGTAATGTCAATTCTGGAGCACTTTTCAATTTGATATTTGGCCTGTCGTTTCAAAGTTCTATGCGAAACATGATACTTAAATTCTTTCCGTATCCGTCACCATTTGTGCATTTCTTGGTGGATAAGCCACTACAGGCTCCTCTAGTTGGATCTTTTAGTTCACTTTTTCTGTGCAATTATTTTTCTCCTCCTGTTCACATTTGGTGAGTTTTGTTGTTGGCTGTATCACCTGATTTTTATGATATATTTTGGGAAAAACCTTGCAGTTTCGTCCGATGGCTCCAACACAACAAGGACAGCCATTCATTCCGGTGGTTTCCCAACAGTTTCGGCCAGTTGGACAAGGTATGCCTTCTTCCAATGTTGGGATGCCTGCTGCTCAAAATCAGCCTCTGCAGTTTTCTCAACCAATCCAGCAGTTACCGCCATGGCCAAATCAGCCTGGCCCTGGGGCACCTTCAGCACAGGCTTTATCAATGCCTTATGCTCAACAAAACAGACCTCTAACATCATCGCAGCCCCAGCAAACTCCCCCTCCATTAAGTAATCATATGCATGGGGTTGGCACCTCAGGAATTCCTATTTCCTCACCATATGCTGTAAGAACTCACCAACAGATTCCTACTCTTTGGCTTATTTCATGTGATGTCTTTTGGACTTACTTCTGAAGTTTTGCATTGTTTCAGTTTGCACCATCTTCTTTTGGCCTGACCCAAAATAGTGCCAGTGCATTGCCCCAGTACCCACCAATGTCTCAAATGCATGCACCTGTTGTACCTATGGGGGGACAATCTTGGCTGTCTTCTGGAAGTCATGGTGCTTCACTTGTTCCCCCAGTACAGCCTGCTGTTACCCAGCCTTCTATATCTTCTTCCTCAGATTCGGTAAGCTCCCTCCCTCCCTCCCTCTCTGTCATATTCAGTTGATCATTCATGTTTCAGCTTCTTACAACTCTTTATGAAGTGGTGCTGTTGATGATTCCTAGGAAGATTCTTTTCCCAGTAACTTGATACATATTTATGCACCTTGTTTTTAATAAATTGCAAGGTCAACTAAATTTTTATAGGACGATAGTTTGTGGTTAAGCATGATATATAATTCTGAATTTTTTTGAGTGACATAACTTTCAATCTTATCAGAATATTAAGAGCTTCCCTGGATGCTATTCTTTTCAACACGATGACATATGCATGCTCCTGAAGTGAATTAGTGTCATAGGTGTGATCAAAATGCTATGTACTCTGGTTTTGAATGCGGGAAGTTAGAGAAGTAGAGTAAACTGTTTTTAATTTTATCTAAAACAAGTAAACTTTTGTAAGAACATATTCTTCCAGAGGAGTTTGTGTTGGCTTTTCCCTATAATGAAATATTTCTTTTTGTTTGTTTTTTTCATTTCTCAATGGAAAATGTATCCATGTAGTCAACAGCCATGGGGTTGGATCTTGTGCTAAGTTTTGTGTTATTTGCTCCTGAAATTATCTTTTGCCCATTCATAGTTACTATTTCTCTGGATCTGGTTAGCCATATTTAACTCTTTATTTGTTCTCAAACTTTTATGGAATTTCAGGCAGTAGCTGTTTCTAGCAATATTCAACTGTCTTTGAGTGACTGGCAGGAACATACAGCTTCTGATGGGAGGAGGTATGCTTGGGTTTTTAAATCTTGTCATTACTTCTTATCTCCTGCTCTATTATTCTCAATGTTGCCTTCTATAAATGCATCCTTCTTAATAGATTATGTTTTTCTTACAACGTTTCAGATGTTAGGTATGTGCCACTTGCATGCAACTTAAAACAACCCAAACAATGATTACAGTCAAAAAAATCCTTCCACACAACATGTTCCTGTTCCTTGTAGTATATTCAATAACTAATAACTAATGAATACTTTTTGTCAGATATTATTACAACAAGAGAACAAAACAATCTAGTTGGGAGAAGCCCTTTGAGTTGATGACGCCAATTGAGGTGAGCTGTATTCCTGAGTGGCTCTTTCCTGCATAACTTATAAATGTCGTCTCTGTTATCTACTGTACATCCCTTTGATATTGTTGACGTACATACAAAACAGTGTACCTTCAACGGATGTTGCTATTGTAGCTGCCCTTAAGTTGATGAAAATCGTTTTATTCGAGCTCTCCTTTTCTTTGCATGTTTCTTTACTGGTTTGTAGATTTCATGGCAAGTCTGGAGAAATTTAACAACTGCTCTATATGCTCACTTTGAAGGCGGGCTTTCACTTTCTCAAGGCAGGCAACATTTTGCTATTTTTATTCTGTCATTGGGCAAAATTTTATGCAGAACCCGTGGTTGGTATGCTTAACCAACATTGAATATTGCTAGTTTCATTTTTCTCTGAACTTTAGAATGAGAATTGTTACTCATCTCTAATAGCATCTATTTATTTCTTTATTCACGAATCTCATTTGTTGTAATTTCATGCTCCGACAGGTTAATAATTTTTATAAGATAATTATAGTCCACTTAGCTGGCTGTTTTGGAATTATTCTTATGCCATCCTTTGTTTTTATGTAGTCATTATGCTCTTTACTTTAGGCCCTGGTGTTTTTTGTTGTTTGTTGTTTTTTCTTGTGTGACTTTTCAATGGTTTCGATTGCTGAAATAGTTCAACAGGTACACTTACTGCTCTTCTCTTTCAGAGGTATAAAATGCTTGGTCAGCAGTGTTTCCTCTTAATTCTGTATTTCACTCCTTTAGATTATCTAAAGGAATTAATATTTTATGTATCAATAATGATGCCTAGTTTAGTATGGTGTCTCCCACCCATTTATAAAGAAGTACCCCCTAACTAACAGTGAAAAATGATTGATCTAGTTACAAGGGAAATTGGAATGTGAATATAGCTCATGCAAAGATGTAGCTATATGATACCTAAGAAGTCCGATTGCACCTACGAGGAACTAAAAGTGTGCACCCAAAGGTGTTGAATAAACACTCTTTTTTGATTCTGTACATTGGGCATGCTTGCATCTCTGTTTGTAGTTGCTGTCCCGGTATATACTGCTTCGTGCTGTCCTTAATTGAATTTAGAGTTTTGGTTGGCCTAGATACTGTGATAAAAAATTGTTCTAGGTTGAACCCTTTTTGCTACACAGGAGAGTGGAATAGTTGGTTGTGATTCTACAACACGCTTAGTGTCCTTTGTTGTAATGATGATGGATATTATTGTCTGAATATCGGATTGTATCTTGCAGCTGAAAAAAATGATGTCGCATCTAGAAGCTTGTGAAGTTTGTATTTAAGAAGGATAGGGGAGGGTGCAAAGTGACTTAATTTGGATGCGATGTAGTTCTACTTTACAGCTTCAAGGGACTTTTTTTTTTAACGTAATTTCAGATTACTCACCTTTTTTACATGTAGATGCAGCCTTTTGAATTTTATGACATTTTCCACTTCACAGTGGAGAGTTTAATCTGGGCAGGTTACTATGATTGCACGGAGTGATAACTTTTTAAATTGATTTTATCTTTTTCCTTTTGCCAAACCTATATATAATACTTTTGGGGGAAGTATCACACTTCCAACTCATCTAGAAACTTTTGGCACTGGGTTAAATCAGTTGGATTGCACTAGAAATGGGCTTTTCTTGGTCATGTCTTGTGAAATTTCTAAGTTCAGGTTGGTTTTATAGCTAGCGAGTTTTTAGGCAACTTATTCCTTGTAGATGTGCACAAACAAATGTTACACATAGGGAGTTATAATTTCATGCTGTGATGCTTATTCATGAATGTGGAACTAAATATGGATTGGACGAATTTTTGAGTGAGTTTTGAATGAAAAAATACACAGAAACTATCACTGAAGTTGGTGGTATGCTAAGCTTTTCTAGATCAACAAAATTCAGAAACTGTTACTTTTTTTCATTGTTTACTCTGCATTACAATATTGTTATAAAGTCCTTTGTGCATTTCTTTGTCCATGGCACGCTTACTTTTATTCCTGACGTTTATGATTTTATCACTTCTGCAGTATTATTGCTTTTCTTGTAGAGTTATAGTGTATCTTTAAGTGATAAGTACCCATAATGTTTCCATCTTTGATCCTCAGTTTCATCATTCTTATGCATAATTACTTTTCTTTGTGGCTGCTAAATACACAGAAATTATATCGTTATAAAAATTTTGAGTGAGTTTTGAATGAAAAAATTCACAGAAACTATCACTGAAGTTGGTGGTATGCTAAGCTTTTCTAGATCATTAAAATTCAGAAAATGTTACTTTTCATGGTTTACTCTGCATTACAATATTGTTATAAAGTCTATTGTGCATTTCTTGGTCCATGGCATGGTTACTTGTATTCTTGACGTTTATGATTTTATTGCTTTTGCAGTATTATTGCTTTTCTTGTAGAGTTATAGTGTATCTTTAAGCGATAAGTACCTGTTATGTTTCCATCTTTGATCCTCAGTTTCATCATTCTTATGCATAATTACTTTTCTTTGTGGCAGCTAAATTCACAGAAACTATATTTTTATGAAAATTTTGAGTGAGTTTTGAATGAAAAAATACACAGAAACTATCTGTTGAAGAAAATTGAGAGGAAAAATTATATTTCACTCTTACGTAGGTTACAATGCATCAGAATATATATACAATGAGTCCTAGAGTCGGAGTAGGAAACTACCTAATCTAGGGATAGATATAAGCATAACTAGAGTCCCTCAAAGTAAGGGATAACATTAACACTCCTAATATCTAGCCGATAATAATAATAATAATAATCATATTTACAGCTAATATACATCTTGACACTATCACTGAAGTTGGTGGTATGCTAAGCTTTTCTAGATCAACAAAATTCAGAAAATGTTACTTTTCATTGTTTACTTTGCATTACAGTTTTGTTATAAAGTCCATTGTGCATTTTTTTGTCCATGGCACGCTTACTTTTATTCTTGACGTTTATGATTTTATCGCTTCTGCATTATTATTTCTTTTCTTGTAGAGTTATAGTGTATCTTTAAGCAATAAGTGCACGTTATGTTTCCCTCTTTGATCCTCAGTTTCATCATTCTTATGCATAATTACTTTTCTTTGTGGCTGCTAAAATGTTTTTATATTTGTGATATCTACTATTTCCTGAAACTGATTTTGCTTCTTCACCTGATAATTGCTGTCATTGTAACAGAGGGCTGATGCATCGACTGTTTGGAAGGAATTCACAACTCAAGAGGGGAAGAAGTACGTTTTGATTCTATTGTTATTTTTGTATACCTAAGATTTTTTGGGAGTGCATTCTAGTATTTCTCCTTTCTTTTTTTCTACAATATCACTAAATAATCAGGGGGTGGTGGTTGCAGGTATTACTACAACAAGGTTACGAAGCAATCTAAGTGGTCAATGCCTGAGGAATTGAAGGTCTGCTTGTGTAATTGATAGTATTTGTTTCACCTACTGTTGCGTATCTGATCGTCCACTCCTAAATGGTTGTTTCCAGATAGCTCGTGAACAGTCTCAACAAACAGTTGGCCAGGGGATTCAATCAGAAACTGATGCAGCTTCAAGTGCCTCAACTGCTGTTGCTGTCACCTCAAGCGAAACATCTACCGCAGCTATTTCGGTTAGCTCTAGCTCTTCTTCGATGTTATTGGGGGTCTCTTCGAGCCCAATTTCAGTCACACCTGTCGCTACTGTTGCTAATCCATCCCCAGTGGTAGTTTCTGGATCACCAGCTCTTCCTGTTGCACATTCTACCACAGCTAGTGCTGTAGGTGTCCAACCCTCTGTGACTCCTTTACCCACTGCTGTTTCAGTTAGTACTGGAGCTCCTGCTGAAGCAGTTGATGCAAAGACAACATCATTGTATGAATTTCCTTTTTACTTTTTAGTTTTTGATAATGTTTAGTAATTAAGAAATTGTCTCGTCTTTTATTTTTTTATTTTTTGAGTACTTCTGATGTATTGCCACTGACCAGATCACCATAACCAGAGTGAGACACTGAATCTTGAGGAAATCAAACAATAGAGGCACACTAAATCTTGAAGAAAACAAGTTTATTATATTCAATCAATGATACCTTAATGCTGAATGTCTGCATAGGGTGTTCATCTCTAGGCACCCAAAAAAGGGGGAAAAAAAAGGAAAAAGAAAAAGAAAAGGATAAAGAAATGAACCACACATCGAAACAAAAAAAAAATTACAATCAAAACCCTCTATTTCTTTCTAAGTGAAGTATCCCTATAAAATCTATTATGTGGGCCTGATCAACTCCTTATACATACTTGAACATTTACAGGAGTAGCATTGATAATCTATCATCTCAAGGTGTTGCAAATTCTTCAGATGGAGCATCTATGATGGTTGCTGAGGTATGGCTAGTTCTTTACATGCTATTTATGGAATTTACAAGCTGGATTTGCATGCTTTAACCACGCTGCCAATTTTATGTTGCGGAAATTAGAGCACCACTATATCTGTCGTATGTTTGTAACATTTATATTCATTCTTAATTCTTTATGAATCATTGTTTTGAAAGAAGAATTTGGCATTGATAATCCTTTGACCTCCATGCTGGTTTTCATTTTAAAACAAGATTGCTCGAGTAAACACCCTCATATGGCAAACACACTTATTTTCAAGAGTTGGCATGCACGATTAGATATGAATGTTAGATTGTTGTTTTTTGACTTCTGATTTACATCACCACAGGAATTGAATAATGGATTGATGAATTCGGGAAAACCTAATGCCACTCCTTTGGAGGAGAAGACCCCAGATGAGGAACCTTTAGTATTTGCCAACAAGCTGGTATGGACTTGAAATTTACTTGTTCCCCACCTCCCTACTTTTCCTGGCATGTAAATCTAGAATAATGGATTGTGCTTAAGCTATTTTCACATATGGGAAACTGTGATGATTCTGTGCGGGATTATGCTTCTGAAAGGAAAATGATGCAGAAAACTGCAACGCTCAATCTGTAATGCTTCATTTAGTCATCATTATAACTATCTTCTCTCCCTTGTGGTGGAGAGTGTTTGGTTATTGAATATTTGTTATCAGCTTCTTAATTTAAATTCACTTGCATGTTTGATATATATAGGAGGCTAAAAATGCATTCAAAGCTCTTCTAGAATCTGCAAATGTCCAGTCTGATTGGACTTGGGAGCAGGTATCATTGTTACTTATTATTCCTAACCATCTATTTTCTTCATTAAATGGATGCCATTGATGTGGGAATTTGATGTTAGACGATGAGAGAGATCATTAACGACAAAAGATATGGTGCTTTAAAAACCCTTGGCGAGCGGAAGCAAGCATTTAATGAGGTATACTTCAGATCCATTTTATATGGAACTTTTTGGCATATGTTAAGAATCTTTTGTGATTGAATTGGATTTGAGTGGTTCTGATTGCATATTACTTTTCTTTTTTGTTTCATTGATATTTCAATTCATGCCATTATGATGTCAAATTGATTATTTATTGTGCTCTAGTACTTGGGTCAACGGAAAAAACTAGAAGCTGAGGAGAGGCGCATAAGGCAGAAAAAGGCTCGGGAAGAGTTTGCCAAGATGTTGGAAGTATGTTGCATATAATTAAATTGTCTTGTGTTTTTCTCTCTCTGCTCTGATTTCATAATGCTTTTCGATGGTTTGATCTCTTTTCAGGAGTCTAAGGAATTGACATCATCCATGAAGTGGAGGTTGAAGTTTCAGTCTATTCAGAGAGAATTTTGATGTCTAGTTTGTTTTGCTGTAGAGTGTAGTTTACTATTGTTTTGACTTACTGTCCTGTTATTTCAGCAAAGCTATAAGTCTGTTTGAAAGTGATGAACGGTACAAAGCTGTTGAGAGAGCCAGAGACCGAGAGGATCTTTTTGACAGCTACATTGTAGAACTTGAAAGGAAGGTAAAAATTTCTGTACCTGTGCTTTGTCTGCTCGTGCATGAGCGTGCCTGTATATATATTAGGTGAAGTGTTAATGTGAATCTTTGTCGGTATTATATAGACATGAAATTGCCTGGAAGTATTAAATATCTTTTTTTTGGGTGGATAAAAGCCTTCTGTAATGTTATATTTATTCTCTAAATAGCTTACAAATAGTAAAATTTTTGAAACTGGAAGCGTGGCAGTTCCAGTCCTGATTTAATAGGTTTGTAGAACTTCCAATCAAAACTTGTACTGTCTTAATTTAATTGAAAGCAAAAATTTCTTTCAGTAGTTTGCTAATTTGTTTCGCTCTAAATTTTTATTACTAGATAAAAGATGGCTGGATTTCGTGGAAATTTTTTGATCAATTTAGATTGATTTTGGGAGAACATTGCTCATGTTCTTTTCATACGGTGAAATAAAAACAGAAAAAATGAATTTCAAAGGGCTTTTTTTCATGGATTTTTAATCTAGCACCAAAGCTCTCCTGTATATATTTGCTATTGAATGTATGTTCATTGCTGAAACTCCATTTTTTCTCTTGATGTAGAAATCTGAAAATGTATTTATATTCAGATCTAGTATTTCCTGGTCAATGCTTATAAGATTCAATTAGTGCGTTGCTTATTCTGTATAGTGGCAGAGCCTAGGAGGCATCTGTATTTCTGGACGGTGTTAATCGTTTTCACTGGGTGAATCATCAGTCATGCTGCTATGTTCTTGGTGTTTAACCTGTCATTCTCATTTCAGGTGCAAGCTGGGATAACTAATCGTACTATGCATAACATCCTGTTCTTACATGTTTATGTTTTGATGTCTAATGAAGGAAAAGGAGAAGGCTGCTGAGGACCATAGGAGGAATGTAGCAGAATATAGAAAATTTCTGGAGTCCTGTGATTTCATTAAGGTATTTCTCAAGGGGTGTAAAAATAGATAGCAATTTATTTTTACTCCTGGACCTTGGCATGATTAGTCTTCCACTTTCAGGCCAACAGCCAATGGCGAAAAATTCAAGATCGCTTAGAGGATGATGAAAGGTGTTTGCGTCTTGAAAAACTTGACCGTTTGCTCATTTTCCAGGTATATTTTCTCACTTGTAATTCAATATGTTTTTTTGAACTAGATGCTGATATTTGTACTGGCAGGACTATATTCGTGACTTGGAGAAAGAGGAAGAGGAACAAAAGAAGATACAGAAGGTACCATTCATTTGTGCTGTGTCTCTCTCCCTTTGGTTCTATGTTCTTACCTCATTTCTTTTTTCTCTCTAAATAAAAGGAACAATTGAGACGGGCTGAAAGGAAAAATCGTGATGAGTTCCGCAAATTGTTGGAAGAACATGTTGCTTCTGGCTCCCTTACTGCTAAAACTCACTGGCTTGACTATTGTTTGAAGGTGCTGTCTTGATTTTTTGTTGTGAAATACTTGAAGAGTTAAATAAAAGATGGGAGAAAAACTTCATCTGATATCTGGATCTGAATTTGGTTATTTCATTATTTTTCTCTTTTGATTGTAGGTTAAGGATTTGCCTCAATATCATGCTGTTGCAACAAATACTTCTGGCTCAAAACCAAAAGATCTGTTTGAAGATGTTTCTGAAGAATTAGAGAAACAGGTAACTGTCTCGTTTCTGATTCCTGTAATCTCTGATTAATTGTTCTTTTCAGTCTTCTTATTTGAAAGATTGGCAGTTGCATATGTTAATTTTACTAAGAGAGTTTAAGGTTTCGTTAATCTGCCAAATCTCAAACAACATCAATCTCTTGTGTCAACATGATTATGACACGCCAGAGTTTATTTTTAGTTTCCGCTTTCTGTCTTTTGGCTTTGGAGTCTTTTTCTGGCATATCTGGTTAACTCGTCCCTCCATCTTATGGTTTCTTCTTTCTAGTTGATTACATGTCAGAATTGAAAGTCATATAGTATATTTTCCTTCTACTTTGCTTAGGCAGGAAGCATTGGTGTGGATTACATTTGAATATTGACCTACAATATAGCAAAAAGTAAAATTTTAGATTGTAAAACTCATGTTAATATTTTTTTTTCATGCGATGATTTTGATTGGTGACCTTGATATTGCAACCCTCTTGCAAGTTGTGAACTCACTTTGATGTGGATAGAATTTTCATGTTTTTCACCAGTTTCAGTTGCAAATGATCAGTCTTAGTCTTGGCATCCTATAGTTCCAAGTTTATCAGTTCCCAGTGTTTTATAATTTAACCAGTAACGAAAAGATTTTATTGCATGACTCCATCAATAAATTTTCTGATTGAAGCTGTGTGAGGTTTTGTCTTTGTTACTTACAACCTGTATATTCAAATTATTCACTGTATATTTAATCTACTTCCTTTATATATTTTCTTCTTGAAACAGTTGAAACCTGCAACACACGTGTCTAACCTTTCCTTCTTTTATATTGACAGTATCATGATGATAAAACTCGTATAAAGGATGCAATGAAGTTGGGGAAGGTAAGATAATACATGCTTCTTCTTCTTTTCACGGCCCCTTCCTATATCTGTAACCTTTATATGTGCAGATCACTGTGCTGTCAACATGGACATTTGAAGACTTCAAGGCTGCTTTTTCTGATGATGTTGGTTCCCCGCCAATATCCGATATCAACTTAAAGGTATTGCTTTTACTGTTTTCTTCCTGGTTTGCCCAAAAAAGAAGATATTACAAGGTATAAATTGAATTATATGTTGTCGAAGAGCTTTTCTACTGTTTTGAACCAGTTTATGTTTTCTGAGAGAGAATTCTTGTTTGCCAAAGAAGCAAATCACACTAAACCTGCAGAATACATTCTCTTCTTTATGAAGCCAGAAGTCTGTCTGCGTCACCTTCAAACTGCTCTTGAACTTTGAATGTTGGTGATAGTCTCTTGAGAATCTAAGACTGTTAAGATGGCAATGATGGTTTGCCAAGATGAAAAGTTTTCTGATAAGCTTTTGACGCATGCATCTGCGCTGCGGTGCGTGTTTGAAGAAATTATTTCTGATGCAGCTCATGACCGATGATGTTCTATTATAACTTGAGATTGAATTGCTGCTCCCTTATTAGCGTGATGCTGCTTCACGAGCATGAATGTGGTGTTACATTGCCTTTGACCTTATCTTGGTTTTTTTTTGCTAATACCATTTCCTGCTTTTCAGGGATATATATATATCCTGTATGTGCTATTCATATGCTTTACATGGGGATTTCACTAGTGCTTGTTTGACTACTAAGTCTCATTTCCATTTGTCACTTGTAGTAAATGGTTAGGTTTGAGCTCCCCAATGAGTTTCATTAATGAGACATATTCTCATATCAGAGCTTTACTATAATGATGAAGTAGTACTATGCACATAGTGGATAATCTTACATAAGATTTTGATTATACTCTACTTTGAAGCTTTTATACGAGGAGCTAGTTGAAAGAGCCAAGGAGAAGGAGGAGAAAGAAGCTAAAAAACTGCAACGTCTTGCTGATGATTTCACTAAACTACTGTATACTTTTAAGGTATATCAAAAATATTTTGAAAATGTTGCATTTTAAGTTTTGTTTTGCAATCTTTGTATCATTGTCTTCTATCCACAAAAAAGGAAAAGAGTAAGGAAAGAAAGAAAGAAAGATACATTTCCTTAATTATACTAATTTACTATTATTATGCTCTCTTATAGGAAGTAATCGCATCTTCTAACTGGGAGGATTGCAAACCACTTTTTGAGGAGACCCAGGAATACAGGTATTGCTGCTTCCTCCCACCTCCCTCTTTGAAGATGACCAGCTCATCATTAATCTCTAAGAACCTGTTTACTTCTTTTATTCCCTGTGCATTTTGCCCTGTTGCTTTTTCTTTTATAGATCAATTGGGGACGAGAGTTTGAGTAAGGAGATTTTTGAAGAATATGTCACACACTTACAGGAAAAGGCTAAAGAGAAGGAACGCAAGCGTGAGGAGGAAAAGGTACTTATATTTTGTCAGTATATGGCTGTTGACTGTTTCTTCTGGTTCGTTTTGTGGAGTTTTTCCCATGACTAATCTGACTAATATGAAGTGGTTAACTCTGGTCAGACTCATAAGCACATTCGTACTTCAAATTTATTCCTTTGATTGACCTTTTAGCATATTTGATAAGAGGAGAAGATCGAGGCTTGCCGATAAAAGGAACTTAAATTACAGAGGGGCAAAAAAAAAAAAAAAAACAGAAAGGGGAAGTCAAAACCATCTTCTATTTGAATGCACTGTCATTAGAAATAAAAATATCACACACTTGTTATGGTACGGAAATCCGGTTTGCCTTGTAGATGAGAGTGCACAAGAATCTGAGCATAGAAGCTACTACCTTAGATAATCTGTCTGAGCTTTCCCTCATGTAAATAATGCTAGTTATGTTGTTTAATATCTTCATTTTTTTACCCTTTTTGGCAGGCCAGAAAAGAGAAAGAGAGAGAGGAAAAAGACAAGAGAAAAGAGAAGGAGAGAAAGGAGAAGGAGAAGGAGAGAGAGAAAGAACGTGAAAGGGAAAAGGGGAAGGAACGGACAAAAAAGGATGAAACAGATAGTGAAAATGTTGATGCAAGTGATGGTTATGGCCACAAGGAGGACAAAAGGAGGGAAAAGGACAAAGACAGGAAACATCGGAAACGGCATCAAAGTGCCACCGATGATGTAAATTCTGATAAGGATGAGAAAGAGGAGTCTAAAAAACCACGCAGACATAGCAGTGACCGTAAAAAATCGAGAAAGGTACAATTCTGCTGGTGCATTTGTAGTTTTACTTGCTGGAAAATGTGTTAATTTCTTGGAAATATTTCTTGGCAGCACACACACACCCCTGAATCAGATGGTGAAAGCCGTCATAAAAGGCACAAGAGAGATCACCGGGATGGTTCCCGTAGAAATGGTGGTTATGAGGAGCTTGAAGATGGGGAGCTTGGTGAGGATGGGGAAATCCGGTAGTTCCTTTCCCTTTCTGTTTTTAGTCATTTCAAATGCATGAACTAGAAACAAGGATTTCATAGCTGGTCCTGGTATATTCTGGATAAAATTTTCAGTGTTTTCTTTGTGCATTTGATTTGTTGCAACAATTACTGTGCATAGTGTTGTTTTGGAGATGCTATGACCTTTGTAGATTCTGAAAGTGAGCTGGCCTTAAGAACTGCTGATTTGATAGGATGAGTGAAGTGCTGCATATGATTTTTGTACTGGGGACCATGAATATAACTTTGGCTCGAAAAGTCTAGGCAAAGAAACGAGAGAATAAATTTAACTTAGGTTGGAATAATTTGACAGGAAAATGGAATTAGAACAACATAAATGAAAGATCATAAGTTTCCAATGGAAATGGGTGATCCTAATTTTCTTCTTTTTTTGAGAGTAATGATTATTTCAACTCAGTTATAATCAAAACTTCAGGACTGGATTATTCTAAAGCCCTCTCTTAAAAAAATGAGATGAGAAAAACCTAACTCAAATTATAAATGATAAAGAACAAATTGGAAGTGTAAGATACGAAGGAACCAGAAGCGAATATTGTCATAATTCTACAACAGATTCCTAGAGGATGTGGTTGTGGAACAAGCTGCAACTTTCATACTTTTGACACCTACAATCCACTAGTCAATCACTTAGTACTGCTTGAACACTCTTTTGCTTCCTTTTCCTACGACTGGAATTAGAGTAATCTAAGGGTGTCACATCGAAAGTGTGGTCTGCATACAGCCATCCGATGGCTTGGCAACCTTCTGATGGACCTTGATGTGCTGCATCAGTGGGTTTTTGTGGTTTAGCACAGTGAAAGATACATGGATAACCCTTGAAGTTCTGGACTTATAGATAATGATTACGGCCTGAAAGTGTCCTTATTTTATTCTACTGAATAAATGGATTTAAAAGTTACCATTAAATGGAATGCTAACTATCTTCCTGTTTTGGTTTTATCAGCAAACAACCTATGGCAGCAGAGTTTGATATATGAATTCAGGGAGATGGAAAGTGGTGACAAAAAGTTGAAGAGTTGTGAATTAATTAATTTTTGAAGCTCGCATAAGCTTAACATATGGTAATCGGCAATGAGAAATTGATCATGGTTTTAACTATGTCATGCACAAGCTCTTCCAAAACGGCATCTCCAATCTCTGACTCAATTTCCCTCTTCCTTGGCTCATGCTCATTCCAGTCTTGTTCTGAATCCAGTAAATCTAAAACTGCATCTTCAATTTCAAACCCATTATCCCTTTTCTCTGGCTTCTAATTACTCAAGTCTTGTTCTGAATTCAGTAAATCCAAATTCAGCAATTTTGTCAGGTTTGACTCATTGCCAGATTATTTATCCCATGACTTTATTCTCTCCAGTGATCTTTCCAAGCTCTTTTGACCCCAAGAATTGTTTGTGATGACATTGCTGTTTCCCTTCCCTTGGGTCTCAACAATCCCCTTTACATAATCAAAAAAAAGTTGCTTTGTTTGCTGCAAAACCAGTTTGGATTTCAAGTGCTGTGTAGAAAAATAAGACTGGACAAGTTCTTGTATTTATGTGGCTTCTGCACAAACTGGTTTCTCATTTGGTGAGTAGAAAAGTGCTTTCCAGAGAATCTGATAAAATGCAGTCTTGTGTAATTTTTTTTGGGTAAAATAACTAGTTTTTGAAGGAGTTTTTGCTTCTGTTGTACTGGAATCCTCTGTTTTGTCTGTAAGAACAAGTTAAAGAGTTTATTTTCAAGACACTTTTAAGAGGCTGACAGTAAAATTGTGAGCGTATGCTTGTTTATAGCAAATAGAGAGAGATACTGCTTTGAATTGGGGAACTTCCATGAGAAGGTATCCCTTTTAGTACTGATTCAGGGCTGAATTGCCTACTTTCTTCTATACTCTGCTGTTGGATCTTTCTATCTGTAGTAGCCTATTAGCTTTGTGAGTAACTGAACCTAGTCTGTAATTCCTTACAGTTTCTTTTCTTTTTTTTTTTTTAAATGTAATGTCACATCCATCTCCAGGCTATCAGCTGTTGGAGCTTTCTATCTGCAGCAGCCTATTAGCTTTTGTCTAATAATTATGACGGCAGTAAGAAATTGTAGCTTCTCTACCTCCCTTTCTGTTGGATTGTGGAGGCTGAGAAGCTGTAAGGTGCTTGTTGTGAACAAGATATCTTTTTGCAATGAAGTTGACGTTTCTTCTTCACTCGGAAAATGAATCAAACACTGTTATATTGCTAGCAGAGAAAAATCTATCTAATTCTGTAACTTGCTGATTATTCCTGCCCTTCTCGCTGACATTTAGTTTAACATCTCTATGATCAGAACTATTGATTCTTAGCCTCTGCTTTATGGAAAAGACCTGGTATTTTACAGCTCGTAATACCTTGAAACCTACTGGATTGTGCTTTTTGCTCTTGTTTAGACCATGACTGACCGATCTCTTTAGGGACTGACTTGAATTCCCACGGCAGCAGCTGAAGCTGTTTTCTGAATTTGAGCTCTTTCTTAAACATCCACTTTCTAGAAGGTAAATATTTAGAATGAAAGGTTCCTCTTGCTCTTGAAGGAGTTCTCGAAGTTGCTAAACTGGTTTTGGTTCTGTGATAGCTGTTGGAGAAGCGTATCGAAGTGCCTGGAGGGGTTGTAAAATGGATATGAGGGGTGCTTGCGTAAGCAGTTTGATCTAAGTTTGAAGGAAGGATGATGAGATGTATGGTGGTGCTAAATAGATAAACATAGCATATCTGTTAGTTTGGGACCAAACAAGAGCAGAAGTAAATAGCAGTAGGGAGAAAGGATATTTAAGTCTTGGATATTGTGGGATGGAGACATCGTGTAATTCATCACCAGGCTATATATGGCTTTAACTGTTGGGGGTACGCTCTTCAGTTCCAGATCATCCTGTAATCATACGGTTAGCTCGGATGTGGTTTCTATTCGAGCATCTTCTATTCCAGTGTTGTAGCTGTGCTATTTATTGTCATTATTAGCAGACTTCAGACCTTGTGCAATCCCACCCTTCCTCTGTGAGAGTCATGCATTTATACAAGTCGTTTTACTTTTGGTTCCAACAAACTGTCCTTCTGGAGAGGGTATCCAGTACATTTGCCGATGGGTCTGCTTGTGTTACCGTGATTGTTTTTTGATGTTCTTATTTATATGAATCCATGAAAGCATATTTATCGAGTAACACCCTGTGACCAATCTAACCAATCGTCAAGAATGCCTACGGCCTACCCTGAGTATGCATGTGCATGTTTGCATAAATAGATTTAGGGGGCCAAGTTTTTTCCCATTTACCAAATCTAATCCACGGACTGGACATTTTCAATAGCTTTGCTTTATTTTCAGAGGAAGAAATGAAAAGAAAGGGTTACTTTTTTCTTTTGTTTCGTTTTTTGGTTGGAATCTTTTTTAAGACATTTATTCTTTCTTCAAAGCCACGCCCTACCAATCCATGTGACGCCACCTCCACCATAAAATAACAAAACGAGAGAAGTGAAAACAATCGTGGTCGTCTAGATTCTATTAAAAAGCTTCATTCTTGGTTTAATAGTTAGCTTGCATTCTTGGGTTAACAGTTGCAGGCTTTTTTTCCTTTTGTTTTGACAGTATTTTTATATTTTTTTTTGTTTTAAATTCATTCCTTTATATTAGTTTTAGTTTTTTTTTTTAAAAAAAAACATTGTTCCTTCATTAACTTTTTTAACTAACGGTGTTAAATCACACCGTTAGTCTTACATATTGCGGCATATTGTCATTTTTTTTTCCGTCTTAACCTCATCTTTTTATATTTTTTTTGATAAAAAAAAGTCTAAAAATAAAAGAAGATAATAATAATAATCTTTTATTCAAAATATCTCATTTGAGTTTAAATTTATTTTGTGAATTTTGAATATAGAATGAAATATTTATAGTATTTTTTAAAAAATATTTTAAAAAATTAGTTGAATTTTTGAATGGTATTTATAGTCTTAAAAATAGCTTATTATAAAATAGAATTATAAATGCCATTTAAAAGGTTAAAAATTTGACTAAAACTCTTGATATTTAAAAAAATGTAATAAATATTTTATTTTATAATTAAAATTTATTTACTATCATAGAGATAAATTTAAATCCATAAAAAATATTCTGAATAAAAAAATATTTTCATCTTCATATATATATTTTTTAATTTCACTAAAAAAGGAATAGATGAACGAGATTAAGATTGGAAAAAAAATTAACATGTATTGCAAAGCTATAAAGCTAACAATGCGATTTAATTCCATTAGTCTAAAAGGTTTACGGAGAGACGAACTTACGATAAAACCAAATGTAGAAGAATAAATTAAAAAAAGAAAAAAAAGAAAAGCAGCACGATAAAAATGAAAGAAAGAATAAAGAAACTCCTGCAACTATTTACCGCTACTTTGCTGATTTATTTTTTCTTTTTGATTAATTGTCGAAGAGTATTGGTGAACTAGAAAATATTTAGCTCTTTCATTGTGTGATTTGGCAAATTGATCGCCACTCAAAAATATTTTCTTTTTTTATATAAAATTATTTTTTAGTCAATTGAAGTAATCAATTTATCTCAATGTTACATACTGTTTTTTTTTTTTGGTCATCATTACATTTAATCTTTGGTGAAAATGGTTAACAGAATTGTTCAAATAACTCGTATGCTAACATCTATTTTATGAATTGATAAACTAGAGAACAAAAAAAAAACCGACCTAAAATATGTATATCTACTCGAATATCACACTGTTAAATGCATTTTTTTTTTTTGAATACTATGGAGAATTTGTGGTTCTGGTCCCTTTGGATGTCTTTTCCCTCTCCATGTTGCTTGCTTAACTAAATATATGTATGATGACACGGTAAGTTATTTCACGGTCTTGTTAAATGTTTTTTACAACGATTAGATTGAAGAATAACATTGAAAATATTAAATAATGTCAAGGGAAAATTTTACACAATGGTAGGGTTAATAACGTGAAAGAGGTAATATGTCAGAGGTAATTTTATACTTTTTATCTATAAATGAATCAGCGGTAGAATTTATTGTTCTGATTAGAGAAGGCAGCAAAGAAAGGGGAAAAAAATGCAAAAAACTAGAAATAAGGAAAGCACATAATTTTGACAGAGAACGTCAGTGATATGATCCGATCCCTAATTATACTAAATCCAGGATTTAGAATCTCACGAGATGATCCGTGTTTTGATTTTCATGCTATCATTATTAACTTTCAATCATGGGCCAAAACTGTGGAAATGCTCATAAAGTTGATGGGAATTGTGGGCCTTAAGCCCAACACAATCTAATTATTACTCCAAAATGCAAACTGGTCATGGACTCGCTCTCATACTTTGGAGCTAAGCATCTTTTCTTTTTTAAATTAAGGCTTTAATGATTTAGAGACCTTTTTTTTTTTTTTAGTTGACTGTTAATTTAGGTTTATCTAAGATTCTAAGTTGATATACACTCGTTTTCTTGAACCACTTTTCTGCCAGTTTCGTTGATGAAATGTCATTATTGATTTTTTTGATCGCACTCCACTAGCGATGATATCTAGGTGTACAATGCAGTAGAATTTTATCTGCTTAATTTTTTTTGGATTTATGAGAATAATAAAATCTATTTATTTAATATACAAAATACTTATCCAACAGTAAATGTGTTTTTGGTGAGTGAATTCTGTAAAATAATTATTTAAGATTAGCATTATTCAAAATGGCTAATTGATGTCTTGTATGTCTGCTTGACATTTACATGTGGGAGACGTGGATTTAATAAAGACATGAAGTAAGATGAAACGATTGGGCATCTTGGTTGCAAATCTTCACCTTCAAATTTTTCCCAAAAAATAATAATAATAAGAAGAAGAAGAAGAAGAAAGGAGGGCTTAGGAATGGACATGAGTGATGAGTGCAACCTTAAAGAAGCTGAGGGTGAGAAAACCTGTAAGACAGTGGGCAAGCAATGCTAACATGATGTGATGTCGAAATTCGGTCTTTCGGCCACCTAACTACGATTACCAACCAAAATCCACAAGGGGCGTACGCCTCCCACTGTAATACGTTTTCAATCAGTGTCCACATTTAATGATTTCGATTTGACTTGGTCATGTCGCGTCGTACAGGTTGTGAACTCGAATTTTGCATAATTCTTATTTCTTCTGTATGTACAAACAATGTTCTTAAAGACTAAAAGCAAAGCAGGTGCATGCTTGAATCAAGAATCTGCTACTAGTTTGAGACAACCGACTCATCTGCGTATGACTGCCTGCTCAGTGGCAACATCTTCAAAGTATTTTCATTTTTCCGACATGCATTGTTTTCATAAATATATGACGCAGAAAATTTATGCAGCGATAAAAGATGCCGTCAGATTCTAGATTCTGCATTTCAAAATATCTAGTGATGCAATGCAGTGGTTTGCATAATGCTACAGGAAATTCATCAGAAGGCAGTCCTAGGCTAGCGCCTCTAAAGTAGGTGCATGAAATGCCAGAATGCAGGAAGGGACTTGTATCAAATAACCTAGAAAATAAGTACATAAGCAATGAGGAAAAGAAGTTTCGATATTATCTTTTTCCTAGGTGGCGTCTTATACAGAAAATCTAGGGAATAATGAATACTGCGTTCTCGAAAAGTACAAACAGCATTTCAAAACATCATCGCTGCTTCTGGGTGACTCGTAGAATGCAACAAGAGATCCAAAATACAATGGCACCTAAAAAATATTCCTCATAAATTAATCCAGTTAACCGTCTAAATATCTCTCATGGCTGCATGATTAAGCTCCTAATGGCATTCAAACTCAAAAGGTAATGTGTGTCGAATTACATACAGAGAAATGAACACAAGTAAATTGAAAGCAACACGTACAGAACCATGTGCAACACAGAATAAACAAACAAGCAGTCGAAACTGAATTTTCAACACCCAAGAGATTCAGATGCTGAAACTGGATTTTGGGCTCTCAATTTCTCAACTCTAGATGTAAATTCACCCTGGAAAGACATGAAGGATCTCTGCCGACTGGAAAAAGCAACACTAAATTGTTTGATCTCTTTCTCAAGACATTTCCTTCTCTCTGCTTCAGTGTTCAAATCCTTCAAAACGTTTTCCTTTTGAACAGCAATCATTGCTAGTTTTTGAGATGACTCCGAGACTTTTTCAAGCAAAGAATCTCTTTCTTCTTTCAAGAGCCAACAATCTCTTTTCATGGTATCATATCTTTCTCTAGAATCCTTCAGAAGCTGGCTATTGTGTTCTAACTCATTCTCCAAGGCATGGAGCTTTTTCTTGACAGCATCAAGTTCAGTGCCCAGTTTCTCCTTCCAAGAAGCAGATTCTTCTCCCAGAGTGCATTCCTTTATCACATTTCAAAACTAAATCTTCAAACAATGTAATGTGACCTGAATGATGTATGATTTGAGCTACTAGCAATTCTTTCATTTATAAAGTACTATACTCTAAAAATTGGTTAAGATCAACATTGCCACACTTTGGAACTTGACAACATGCATTATGTTGACTTCACAGCAAAAACAAATATGGTTCGCTGTAAACGTCAGAAATATAAAAATAAGATCGACGGAACATACCACTCTATAGAATATCTTCGAAAGAGGAAAAGACAGACTTGGAAACAAGATAAACCAATGCATCAGATTCAGATATGATTCTTCTTCTTATGGTCTCAGACTGGCAAGTTTACACTTATAATTCAAATGCACATCAAAAAGAATTTCCAGCAATTTTTTTTTTTTTTTTTGTTATTAAGATGGTTTATTAGAATGTTTCAAATATCAGCCGTACTGTCCATGACACGAACATCAACTCAAACAATTTTATTTTCTTTTGGCTTGTATCGTCATATAATTTTATAAATATCTAAACAAGCAACGTCATGATTTGCACAAAATACAGGAAAAACAGTTTAAATGATGGAATTCCTGAAAGAGGTAACAACATATCCAAACATCAGGATGAAAAATAAAATCATGGTTGATAAATGATATCTTGATGACTGTGACCAGGCAGCTACCTTATAAGCGGAACTACAAATTGGATTCTTTTCTTCTGTATTCTGAACAGTTAATTTTTCTGCTAATGCCAGGGATGTAATTGTGCTCTTCAATCTTTCAGAAAGCACTTTGCAGTCTTCTTGGACCAGAGAGTCACTCCCATTGAAAGATATGTGATCATCTATTGCCATAGAGAAACGTTCTACCAAATTTGAGAAAAGGGTTAAGCCAATTTCACTTGTGGTAGATATGAATTTTCCAATACAAGGGTCTCCATCGGGTACAAAACTCTGTTTAGATGTCAAAGAAGAAATAACATTTTACTATTCTAATACTATCATTAAAGAATGAACTGAAAGAGGGATATGAATGCACAGCTTCACCTGCATTGTTAACAGAACATCTTTGTAACTGTCTCTGCAACCAGCCATTGATTCACATAGCCTTTGAGGTATTTCACGAATTAGCTCTGTTTCATGTTTGAGTTCTGATATCTCCCTCATTAAATTGTCATTCAACCTTAATTGTTCCAAGTGCTTCTTCTGCAAACATATGCATGCAGTACACATAGATTAAATGCTTGCAAAGCTTTCTACAGATATCAATGCATAGCCAACACCAGAAATAGATGGAAGCTTTGTGTGTGGACAGGAATTTAGAAGTATTATTCTTCTAATTTTCAAATGAGTAACATGTTGAAAAAAAAAAAAGAGAGAGATAGCACACTAAAGAGTGGCCATTGCTCGTTCCGGGGTCATAAACTACACCTCAGATGCTTTTCTAAATCAAAGTTACCAATAGTCGTGGTGTATACTGCATAAAAATGTATCCAAGGAAATGGAGCTATTTGAGAAGAACAAACGACAGCAACCGAACATAGTCATCAAGAACATGCCACTTTCAAATATCAAGCTAACTTACCAGATTATAACCGATTTATGAAATTGAAAATCGAGAAAGGGCAAAAATAAAATTGTAGGCAAACCTGGAGTTCATCCTTCTCTTCAAGGACAAGTTCTAGTTGCCTTTTGAGATTCTGGGCTTCCACTTTGTAATTCTCAGTTGAATAAACCTGAGTGAGATTTGGAGTCACATCACTAGAAGGAAGGGATTGGACTTTTCTTGCAGGAGTCGTTTGAATTGAATCAAGGTCCGCGATGAATCCTTTGTTCATTTTCAACCATGTGTCTTCATCAGCCACATTGCTATAGTTATCTGGTAGAGGACTGAAATCAGGCAGCCTGGAGTAATTGGATCGTTTGCCAACGAAGGAATTGTGAGCTGCCTTGAAAGTAGGGGTTCTGAAAACATCTTCTTTGAAGACATTGTTGCTGCCGCTGAATTCTTCCTTGAAGCTTTGTCTTCCAGAATTCTGTTCACCAATGGTTATTTTATTATCGGACCATAAGTAACTTAATAGAAGTGTATAAAGTTTTGTTAATGCATAAGAAAACACAGAAAGAATAGTAATGATTACATGCAATATATTAAATGAATACAAAAGGAATAAATATATATTTTTTTGTCATGACTATACAAAAGGAAACAAATTTGAGGTTACATATTCTACATACATCTGTACACGATCAGTTTGCACCAAGTCTCTGATTTGTATAACTATATTCTTTGGCATCATTCAGGTGTTTACTTAAAAAATCATACTAGTAATAATTTGATATGCTGCATTAATGATATGGACACAAATGATTGAGAAATCCAAGAACCAATAGTAGATGATGGTAAAACTAATATCTGCTGCCAATTTGCAATCATCAAAGCACTAGAAAGAAGGTTATGCTGTCCGAGTAGTGACCTCTGCTGGATAAAAGTAATCATAAATTATAGCGTTTTGCTTTGCTTGAACTGTACCTGGCTAGAGTTCCTATCACTATCTGAAAAGGTGGCACAGGTACTGAAATTGTCGATTTTCATCTGCTGCTCTTTGATGCATTGATCACGTTCCTTATGTGATTTCCTCTCCTCTTCCAGTTCCATCTCAAGCTTTTCTCTCTCTAATTCATACTGGAAATTCGAAATTGAGCAGATTAACACATGTTATGAGCGGTGCTGATAATAATGGTCCAGATCATGTTAGAAGTAGAATCTACCTTCAGCATCTCATTTCTCAACTTTAAAATTTCTTGTTCCAGTACTTCAGCCCGGGATCCCTGAACAAGAATTTAAGTAACTAAACATCTTCTAAATCTTTACCGTGTAGAAATTACAAAGGACATGGATCATAACCTGAAGTTTCTTAAGCAGCTCCTCTATCTCTAACTTCTGCCGCTTCAGCAAGGCTGCATCCGACAAAATCTACAAGAGGATCACGAGGAAGGAATATATTAGAATCCAGTTACCTAATTTAGTTAAGGTGATAAAATGGTTGATGCTCTGTACAAAACAACAAACAGACCTCGTTCACTTGGGCACAATTGGTGATGCGCTTAGCTCGACTAGCAAACTGGAGAGTTCCCTTTGTTTCGTCAATGTGAAGCTAAAAACCAACAAAAAGAAATACAGTTAACCAAAAAGGCTCAACTTGACGCTGGGTCAATGGTAAGCGTGGGCGATATATAAAATATAAACACTCCAACTGAAACAAATAAATCACTACCTCTTCTGGGGCTACAGTGCATATAATTGAAGTTTTGGCATTTCCACCAAGAGCAGGTTGAAGTATACGAGTAAGCTTACTATCACGGTAAGGAATATGTCCCCTGTATTTTAAAAATTAGAACATTAAAATAAAATTGTAATTATCTGATAAAAGAGATCAACTCCTGAAGCAGAAATTACCTCTGCTTTGCACCATCACTTAGTTTGTTTATTACATTACCAAGAACCATCAAGCTCTTGTTAATGTACTTCCCTTCTTTTAAGCGTACACCACCAGCTCCGGTTTTGGCAATCCTTTCTGATCCAGCTAAATCTACCAAGTTCTACTTTCCACGTAGTGAAAATGGCATATAAAAATTAGCAAAATCAGATCCTAGATAATTCAGTTATCATCATCCAAAATATTAATAATTGACAAGAATCCTGAATACTGCAAATGCGAGAGAGTACACACCAATACAGAAACTCGGATAGCATCGCTACTCGAATAATTGTTTGAAGAATTGGCATCTTTCCTCTTACTTTCAATCACCTGACATGTCAAATGTATTGCCTCAAAACGAAAGTAGATTTCACCAAAGAAATCCCGTCTGTTATAGCTTGATTACTTCAATGACCTTACCATTCTAAAAATCGTGTGAGATCTACTGCTGCGAGCATTCATGTTCGTCTCTCCAAAGTGTCGATTAACTGTGGCGCAGAAATTCCAAAATACATCTTAGCACACAGAATCATCAGGCAAAAGAAAAGAGAGAAAGAAAAGAGATTGAAAATGCTACTAAGTAAACTATGCTTCCAAACCTTCTCCTCCTTCAATTAGCTTCAGCACTTGTTCAGAATTACTCACAATTTCCTCCTTTAGTCCTGCAACAAACACGCCACGCTAGAACACAAAAAATAAAAATAAAAAAATCGGTGAAATTATACAAGCAAGGAAACTAGTAAAAGAGCAAGAGGGTTCTCAAAGTCTCTATCCAACCTCCAAACTCTCATGTATTGGCAACTTCTGATTCTCTACTGCAAAAAGATCAATAATCTCCTCGTTATAAATTTCCATATATGAAACTCGTATGAGAAACTCTCTCTCAGAAATCTGCTTCAAAAAAAAAAGAAAAAAAGAAAAATTCATCGATCATTTCAATTTTGGTAAGCACGCATGCATTGCTAACAGCACAGCAGCCACAGCGTGCAGTAATTACCATGTGAATTTTGTTAAAGACATCTTTAACAGCTCGATGAATAATTCCTCGATCATTTTGAGAACCATTCATTGTAAAAGTTTTTCCACTACTAGTCTGTCCATAAGCAAACACCGTTCCTGCAAAAAAAAAATAAAAAATAAAAAAAAATCGATCAATTACTGCATCTTAAAAATCAAAATTTGAAACTACATAGCCTCTAATAAACCATACCATTAAAACCCTCAACTGCAGCATGAATGAGATCCTTGGTAAGGAGCTCATAAACTCTAGAATTTGTGCAACTCTCATCAAACACGTGATCTAACAAAAAAGAAAATAAATGAATCAGTATATAAAATACAGAAATCAACAAAGAAACAGAGAGAAATTAGAGAAAATAATTAGGTACCGAAGGCATAAGAGGTGCCGGAGATGGGAGTGCCGTGAGATTTGTGAAGAGAGATGCGATTTTCTTCTACTTTCCAGGAGGTTCCATTAACGGTGGCGTCTTCCGATACAGTGACAGGAGGTCTCACTCTAACTGCTACACAGATCTTCTCCATTTTCCTACCTCTCTTGGATTTGATTTTTATTTTATTTTTTAATTTTTCCCTTTTTAGGTGATTTGGGAATTTGGTGTTTGAATTAGTTGTTCGCAGGCGGGATGAGGTGCTGCTTTTGAAGACTGTTGGGATTTGAAAATGATTTTTAATTACGGAAATGTCCCTGGAATGATTGCACTTCTTCTTGGGCCAGTAGTGAATTTGGATCTAGACCTGTACGCCCGAAATAATTATTGGGCCATTATTAATGTAGCTTCTTTTCGACCGTTATGAGTATCATGTCATGTGAGCCCATAAACTTTTACCGTTTAAAAGGTAGTATAGATGACGAGAGTGACATTAAATAATCTTGTCACATTTTAACTAAAATAATGCTATTTATTATGAAATATTCATATTCATATTGATCTTGAATTATTTTTTGTACGATCCCTGGCTCCATCAACTGTTGATATATTTGAGAGATACATATGTTGGAATGAATCGTGCTACGTTTTAAAATATGATGATATCCATACTAGTATTGAAGGAAATAATAATTAAAAAGATAAAAAAAGAAGAAAATATCTTACTTAAAATATTGCTACAACATACTAGAATTTTATTTTCTCAACAGTAAAGCTTTTTTATTTTCAATATGGAAGACTCATATTACGCATATAATCTAAAATATTGAACATTAATATATATCTATATATCAAAATTAAAACTAAAGATACCTTAATTTATGATTATCAACAAATTAAAGATTTGTGATATCGGAACTCAAATTTAAAACACTAATTAAATTTTCTTTTTACCACCAAAATCAATCTACAGAAGCCTCTCGAAGGAAAAAGCAATCACCCCTTTTGCTTTTCTGTTTTGTTTTGTTTTCTTGATAATATGGTTTGATTGTCAGAAGTTCAATTCATTCACGCATATCTTAGAGAGCAAAAAAAGGTTGCCAGTGTCCATAGATTGGAACAATGGCATGTGCAAAAACTATGGGGCATGACATGACAGTGATGCGAGTTCTGACCCTTCAAACCTACTTTTTTTTTTTCCCCCTTCTTCTTCTTCTTCTTCTGGGCTGTCAATTCCTGACTATAATCCACGCTTCTCGCCAGAAGGAATTTCAGCAAGCTCTGTATTCCTTTCAAATTAGTGATCGTTAAAGTTAAACAAGCATGTTTTTTAATTCAGAAAAAAAAAAGGCTTTGTATACGTAGCCCTTCTAAATTAGGACTATAACGATCACTAGTTTTCCCCCTCTTCGCAACTCGAAGGAACTTGCAACTGAAGAAAGAGGCAGGAGGGGGACAAGATAAGATCAGTGACAAGTCCATGTTTTTGCGTTGAACTTGAGTCAACAATCGCAAGTACAGAGGAATCAACCATAAGATGCCACGTACGCCAAAGTTTCATCTCATGATTGGCTAGCTGAGTTTCGTGGCAAAGGATCGAAAGTACCATGCATCTTTTTCAGTTTTTCTTTGCGTGGTTGGGACTTAGATATATATATATATATATATAATCAAAGTTGCTTTGTCGCTTTCTTTTTTCCTCAAGAATCATACTTACTTTGATGATTTTATGGGGACTACAAATCTTATAATCCAAATCCATTCCTTGCACCTAGAAAAAGAGCCCATTCTGTGGGACACTACGTCGAACGACATATGAAACGACATCTATTTACACGCGATGCAGCAATGATGAAGTTCCCATGGCACAACATGATGAATTGATATTGATTTCTTTAACTTAATTTGGGGAAAACATGGAATTCCTATTCATTGTTCTTCGATGATTGAATAATTTTATGTCATGAAATAACTCAGCGGGCAAAGATCCTCCTTTGCTGTAGATAGTTAAACAATTCTAAAGTATATCATGAATTTTCAATCAAAATGAGATAAGCTTTTAACCTTAAAAAAAATTTAATTTGATTAATTATTATAAACTATTTTTAGTAAATAATAAATATATTAATTTGGCTAATTTTTCAACATTGATCATACTTGAAGGTAATCATAATATATAGTTTTGAAAAATAACGCATGTCTTACAATTGCAACAACTTTTAATTAAAAATCTATAAATTCATTGTTAGAATAATATATATGCTTTCTTTAAAAAATATATATATAAAAAAAATACCGATCTGTAATTAAGTTCGTGGTGTTTGCAGCGTCGACACTTGTAACGTAATAGGCCATTCTCATAAAATGTAGGAATTTGGAATCTAATACTTTTGTTTTTCAAATTAACATATATATGCATGCATGTAACTAGAATCCGGTACCATGCCTTTTAAACAAGCCATTTAGCAATTGCTGCATGGTTGAGTTAGTGCCACTCATTTCGGTTGCCTAAAGCTAAGGTGGATAATTGATCACTGGATCTTACGTACTCATGAAAGAAATATTTACAAAGGGAGCTGGGGGAGCTAAAGTTATTTTCCGATATCACTTTATCATCTCCATTCATGTTCTAAAAGTTTTGCTGATGAAAGGAGAAGACCACTTTCCATGTCCACCATGAAGTTCCTTTTCATTTTCAAGTAGAACACGTTTTCTCGTCGGCTGATTTTACATCAACTTTTTTTTTTTTCCTTATTGATGACAAGAAATTAGAGTCCGCATCCTTATGTGTTACAGATTAGGAAAACGCCGAATAAATACACAGTCAGCTCAATTTGATTTTCCATTATCAGTTAAAATAAAATTTATTGGCTCGACTAGTAATTTAATAAAAAGAATAAAGAAAGAGGAGTTTTATATATTTATACGAGGCGAATGTTTAAATCATGATGTCATAAATTTCTATCGCTTGTCGTAACTAATAAACCAAACTCTCTTGTATTATTTTTACACCAACTTTTGATATGGTAACAAGTAAAGGACCCCTTCTCCTTTCCACCTTTAATAATATAGTGAAGTCACCATGGTTGTTTTAACTACAACAAACAATGATCTATCCTGGAGTTTTCCTCGGTGCCTTTTGGTGTAAATAATTAATTAATGTCGCTACGTTATCCATCAATCAAGTATATATTAAGTTTTGGACTAACTATTCACAGCACGTAATTGATTGATTGTTACAGCTGATTGATAATCCACAAAATGCTGATTCGTGAAACGTGTGGGTTATTTAAATAAATAAAGACTTTTATACAAGATCATTTTGGAATCCAAGGGCAAATCTGTACGTACATTCCTTGGAATATGGATCATTTTGGTAGAAGACTTTTATTGTTTCCATGTATCGATTGACATCCCTTTTAAAATGGGGAAAACCATTATTATACCCTTTCTGCAAGCTTTTTTCCAATTTGGCTATTAAAATTAACTTGCTACTCACATATCCATGCCCTATAGCTGTTAACTCAAACAAACCTATTTTGACGATGTGTCCAGTTCTCGCTCTTCTTTCCCTCCATATTTCACTTCTTTTTCAAATGCCTCCATAACAAGCACCTGAAAAACATAAAAGTAATCCAAATCATGGTCTCATCTTCTCCTCCGACAATCCTTGAAAGAACATAAAATTCTCGCCATTTACCAAAAACCTACTATGTTTTTAATTATTGAAGAATGATTGAATGACAATTTTAACAATGTTTTTAGTGTTGATTAAGTGTACAAGTGAACATCGCCTTTTTTCTAACAGTAAAAATTGGAGGGAAGCTCAGAGGAGGATGTGTTAATAGTTTCCGATCTTAGAGAAGATATTGTCAATCATATGCGCGCTAAAAAAGAAGAAGAAGAAGAAGAAGAAGATCCACCTACTGCAAAGGGGTCTACATACAACTCGCCAACCAAAAAGAAACAAAAATCATCTTCTTAAGAAAATGATAACCACCATTCTACTTATAATTTATTTATATTATGCCTTCTCTTTTAGGTGGGTTGTGGTGGTTAGCGATGTCAATTAATCTATATCGCGTTCTCTTTTTGAAATGGTTATATAAGAATATATTAGTACTCCCGTCACTTCAACTTTTCCCTTGGTGAATCTTTTAGGTAGGGCTTGTTGATTTGCATTGCAGGTCCAAACAAAGTTAGCATCCCACTTGGCACTTATTCACGTAATTCTTCGTGTTGGGTTTTTGAGGCAAATTAATTAAGGATAACGAATATCCTTATGTAAGGATTAAAAATTATGTAAATATATTTATTAGACTTTATTTAGCATTGGATTAAGTTAAGAAAGAACAATAAGTTATTTTGTATAGTGATTTTTGCAACAAATTTCTTTACAAAATAGACAAGTAGAGATTAATTAAAATCATCAATGATTCATAACAATTATCTTAATGGCATCCATTAACATATCTTTATTTAGCATGACCGTTTAAGAGTACTGACCCAAACCAAAAAAGAAATAAAAAATAAAACAAAAGAATCATTGGTGAAGTCTAGTAATTAAAATACTAACATGTTAAGAAGCCATTAGAGTTAAATAAAATGATAAAAGTGTAGTTTATTTAAATGACCATCTATATATCTTAATTTATCAATGTCAGCAATATTGTAGCAATCTCATAAACATCGCACTAGCTTCTTATTGATTAGTTCCGAAAAACATCTATTTACACAAGTCATCCATTGGTTTTCTGTGACAGCGACGCTACCGACTCATGAAACTACGGAGCTTATGAATGCTGTTCCCAAGCTCTATTACATTCTAGTGGACCTCATTTCAACGCTAGCCGAGCACACAGCTAAAAAAGCTTAAAGAAAAGAAAAAAGAAAAAGGCTGTCCTGCTAAAAAGGAAGTCCTAGACAAGACCAAAAAGCAGCAGGGCCTCAAATCTTCACATGGTATAACAACGTGGGCTTTCAAGAACCGCCATATTAAAGTAATTAACACCGACATGCACTTAAGAGTTAAGGGAGGGAGGGCTCTAATATTTTCCCGATCGAGTTCATTAGAGCTTTACTAGGCTTAATTACTTTGGTTAAAATTTAAGCTTTAGTGAGGACCATGGTTATTGTGATGTTGCATGGCAACTACAACGTGACGTAAATCCGAAAGTCTGGCCTTGAGAGCCATAGATTCGGACATCAAGCGGTCATTCTCTCTCCATAATACGCGAGACTGGTTTAAAATTAAACCCAACTGGTTCTTGAGCTCCCGGTTTCCAATTTTCAACCTGTTTAATTGTTGGGTGAGGTCCTCTAAATGCCTCTTTTTTCTCCAGCGGGACTTTCGTGCTGACTCTCGGTTCGATGCCATGCGCCTGCGCTTCCTCTCATCCATGGAGTAAACTGCCCGGTTTGATCCCCTTGAACCGGAGTCTTGGCTAGGAGAGGGTGATTGAAGGAGACATAAGAGCTCTTGAATTTCATTGGCCGAGAGCGCAGGGCCATGAATCGGGTACTCGAACTGGGGCGCTTCTTGGGCGACGAACATAATGAGTGAACCAATAGTATATTTAGGAAACGGTTTTTCAAATTGAACCGAGAGGGAGGAAAGAAAGGGAAAAGGGAAGAATGCATTGCTAAGGAGGGCTATTTATGCAGCAAGGAAAAAGATAATTGGGGCCCACAAGAAGAAAAGATGTGGGAAGAGCGAGGGTATTTCGTCCATAAAGTATGTACTTTATGTGGAAGGTGGCATGGTGGTGGGAGTGCTTTTATTTACTTTGGGCTGCCTTTTGAATTTCTTGTACAGAAAGGTTAGGCTACCTTAATCACGAAGAATCAAACAAAAACAACATAATACCGCAAATTACATTAATAAAGGAAAGCTTAAGTTCTTAACAAATTAAACACAGACTGTGTCAACCAGTCATGTGGGATGCGAAGTTGATGGCTAAAAACTTCGTTACGTGGACATTGTCGGTGTGGTTTCGGTTAAGTCCAAATTGGTGGGATGCTCAAGTTTGATAGAAACTAATTAACATATCATTCTTCTATCCATTTAATTAGACAATTGAGTGGATAGGACTTATATATATACATATTGAAGTTATTAATGAACCTTCAATAGTTATACTAGGTGCCGTTATGTTAGAAATCACATACGACAAGAATTTTTGTATTTATACTTAACGAAATCTTTAATTAAAATTAATTTTCACCAACGAGAGACTTCATTCGTATAGACAACACACTCATCCTTAATGGATGTGCATATTTATTATTTGTCAATTATAGAATTGCAGTTATTTTGCAACTCTTGAGTAATAGGCACAATTCTTTTGAATAGTTACAACATGCAAATGGAAACAATTCTAATTATATGGAAATCTATTTATAAAAAACTCATAATAATATTTAAATAATATCAATTATTCTTAGATCTCCAACTTGAACTTATTAAAATATAAAATACTATTATTGTTTCCAAAAGGATATACTATTGTATATAAAAAAAAAAAAAAACAATCTATCTCATAACTCTTGGAATTAATTTTTGTGTAATCATATCATGTACTTTTATTTTATCTTAGACATCTTCAAAAGCCGTTTAGAGTCGAGACACTTTATCATGTTTTTAATTTATCTACATAATTTTTAAATACATTACATTCATATGGTTATTAAATCTTTCTAATGACCATCCTTTTGTCATGAGATTTACTTGTCATATCTTCATATAAAATGTAGTCGATTTTTGTCTCTCTCTTTTCAATCATATCTCGTACAAAATGAAAATTTATATTTATACAGTTTTTTTTTTTACTAATGATATGGTTATCTTATTGTTGCAAAACATATTTAGGGGCATAATGATTTCTTAAATTTCAAACCTTCAATAAAACATTTAATCCAAATTGCTTGTGTGGTTATTGTACTACATGCTACATATTCCGTTTCAATTGCATGTCTAGCGACTCAAGTTTGTTTTTTTGTCTGATCATGATATTGTACCTCTTTCAAGTAAAGATATATTACCACGAGTGGATTTTGATCGTCATTATCACCTTTGAAATCTGCTTCCGAATAACCTTAGGTTTTCAAATCATCACGTCCAAAAACTAGTGGATTTGCTTGAAATTGACTAATCAATCCAATCGTATAGCAAATATCCAGTCTAGTGCTAATCATGACATTTATCAGACTACCTATGGCTTGAGCATAAGAGACATTTTTCATGGCTTTAATTTCATGATCACTTTTTAAAATTTGTGACATTCCAAGAATCAAGTCTTCGCATGTTGGTGTAGATATTGGCCTACAATTGTTCATATTGAATTTTTTAATACCTCGCTCAAATACTTTTCTTAATCTCAATATAGCAGTTTTCATTTTCAATCTTTTGTAATTCGGATGCCTAATACAATACATGCCTGTCCCATGTCTTTCGTTTCAAATCTCTCTTTTAGACATGCAATACTAGTTTTTTCTATCATCTCAACACTGTCGCATGCGAGTAGTATGTCATTTATATACAATGATAGTATAACCAAACTCTTATCTTCTCCTTTTTTCACAAATAGATACAATTATTCATATGGTTGATCTCATATCCAATTTCTAGTATTGCTCTATGGAAAGTTGAATACCATTGTGTACGTAGATGGTTGCTTTAAACCATAAACTGATTTGTTTAATTTGTAAAATTTATCTTTTAGACCTTTTTCTTTGAATTCCTTTAGTTGTTCCATGTAAATATTTTTTTTAACTCTCCATTTAAGAAAGTCTTTTTAACATTAAGTTGAATCAATTCAAGATCCAACTTAGCAACTAAGGCCATTATAATTAAAATGGACATAAATTTTACAACTAGAGAATATGTATCTTCATAATCTACTTTAAATTTTTGCATGTAACTTTCTGCAACTAATCTAGTCCTGTATTTTTCAAATGTTCCATTTGACTTGAGCTTTATTTTGAAAATCCACTTAAATCTAATAGGTCTTCTACCTTAAGGTAAATTCACTAATGTCCAAGCTTTGTTTTTCTTTATTGATTCTATTTCTTCATTCGTAGCAATATTTCAATGAGTTAATTCATCTCGGGATATAGGTTCCTCGTAATTATGTGGGTCCTTTATATTTAATATAACAAAAGTATAATAATCCTTATACATTTACGAAAACTCTTTTTTTTTTTTCTTTTTCTTCAACTTTCTATGACATTTTTATCACTCTCTTTTGTACTTTCTTGATTTACAAATATAGAAACATTTTTATATACTTTATCATTTAATATTTCTTGTTCATATGTCAATTTCAACTCTTGGAAACGAGTAACTTGATTTACATCTTCTATAGAAACAACATCTTTACTTTTTATAAAGCTTATTTCCTTCTAATCAAAACGATGCTTTGTTCTATTAGTTACAAAACTTATGAATTTACATTCATAACTTCTTTTACTTCATTTATCTCTTAAAAATTTAAGAACAAGGACAAAAACCTTACATTCCCATACTCTTAAATTTGATAAATATGATTTATGATCTATCTAACATTCACATAGGGTCATTTTTCTAGCCTTTGTAGTCCCTCTATTTAGAATATAAGCTATTGTGCTTAAAGCCTTCTCTCAAAAACTAAGATGTAATTCGGAATATGCCATCATAGATATCACCATATGTATTGGTGTATGATTTTGTATTTTGGCTACTCTATTTTATTGTGGAGTATATGTCGACATTGTGTTTATATAGCAAATTTAGAATTTAAGTTGTTGTGCTTAAAGTCTCATCTCAAAAACTAAGATGCAATTCCGAATATGCCATCATAGATACCACCATATCTATTAGTGTAGGATTTCATATTTTGGCTACTCTATTTTATTATGGAGTATATGTCGGAATATGCCATCATAGATATCACCATATCTATTAGTGTACGATTTTGTATTTTGACTACTCTATTTTATTGTGGAGTATATGTCGACATTGTGTTTATATAGCAAATTTAGAATTTAAGTTGTTGTGCTTAAAGTCTCCTCTCAAAAACTAAGATGCAATTCCGAATATGCCATCATAGATATCATCATATCCGTTAGTGTACGATTTCGTATTTTGGCTACTCTATTTTATTGTGGAGTATATGTCGACATTATGTTTATATAGCAAATTCTATTTTCCTTCGATAATATTTGAATACTTCTAGTATATATTCACCACCTATCATTGTTAAGTCTTTTTATAGGTTTTTCTAACTAGACTTTAACTTCCTTTTCCAATTTTTTTGAATTTTTCAATTGCTAATGATTTATGTCAAACACACATAACCACATCTTGAAAAATCATAAATTAAAGGGATGAAATATTCCATCCATTTTTTGTGTTTTAACCCTCATAGGTCCATAAATATTTGAATGAATTACTAATGGTAATTCATTTGTATGCCATTTTTTGTTAAATGACCTCTTAGAAAATTTTAAAAAATAAAACTAGTATCATTGTACATAACTCTACAATCACCAACGCCAAGAACATCACAACATGTATTATTACCCATAAAAAGTATGTGCTCTCTAAATGACATTTATATCTACACTAAACAATCCTTTAATTTGCATAAATACCTTATAACACTTGAGTCAATCCACCGAGTCCACATTTGTGAGGTCAATAACCATGGCTTCAAATATAGTAAAAACAATTTCCTTCCATTCTTTCTTTCAATCTTCATTTGTGTCAATCATTTTTTGGCCTCTTTGGATACTTTCGACTTCACCACAAGAAAAACATGCTCTATGCTTGCTTTTTTTCTTCTTTCTATCCTTGAATTGCCTTCCTTTAGGCTTCCAAGGCTTCTTGCCTCTCTTGTTTGGTTTCTACCATGATATTTGAGCGCTTACGACGCCTTTTCCTTTCTTTCTAAAGTGCCAATATTGCAAGTAATTTATCCATAGTCAAATCCTAACCAGAATAATTTACCAAGGTGACAACAAAATTCCAAAAAGGAAGAAGATTATTAAGAATAATTGATATCTCGTCTTTGATCGATATTATATTTCCTACTGCAAATAAATCTTTAGCAATAAGAACTATGTGATTAACATGATACACAACACTAGCATCCTTTGACACAGTCATGCCATTGAATTTTTTAAGTAAAAATTGAACATAAGTGTTGGACTTTCCACCAATACAAAGTAGAGAGAATTTTCTTTGCAATCTTCAAACAAAAAAAAATAAATTATCTTGTATGTAACTCAAAAGAATAGTATTTGCAAGCTCATTATTCTCTTTTTATTTTCTAGTTTTTTCTTGGGCAAATCATTAGTTTCTATGTAGCAATCACATAAAATATTTTGCCATTTATCAAGACATAAAAAATTCTTCTTTTTTTGAATAGAATAATTAATCTCATTCAATTTGTCAATCTTGGAAAAATCAATAGATCTTAGAAATAAATGACAAAAAATCTTACGGATTTTGAAAAGCTCTTCAAACAAAAAAAATAAATTATCTTGTATGTTACTCAAAAGAATAGTCTTTGCAAGTTTAATATCTTCTTTTCATTTTGTAGTTTTTCCTTAGGCAAATCATTAGTCTTTGCGGGTTTGTCGGTAGCAATCACATAAAATATTTTATCATGTATCAAGACATAAAAAATTCTTCTTTTTTAAATCGAATAATTAATCTCTTTCAATTTCTCATTCTTGGAACAATCAACAAACCTATTTTTTAATGATATAATTTAATAAACTAAATGATATATAACAATAAATGATAAAAAATCTTACACATTTTGAAAAACACATTAATCTTAGCCTTAAAGATGAAAAACTAAAGGCTTTGATACCACTCGAGGCCTCGATAAATCTTCAATTTAGGACTATTATTAATAGAATGAGAGTTTTTGTATCTATATTTAACAAAATTTCTAATTAAAATTAATTTTTATTGACGAGAGATCCATTTATATAGACAACACACCCTTTTTTAAATAGATGCATATATTAATTAATTGTCAACGACTAAATTGCGAGTTATCTTATAACTCTTGATTAATAGAGACAACTCTTATAAATAGTTATAACATATGAATAAAAACAATTCTAATCCTGCAGAAAGCTATGTGTAAAACCCTATTACTCTAGTCCTATGAAAAACTATATATGTATAAAAATTCATAATCATATTTAAATAAGTTCTAATATTTCTCTCTCATATATATATATGTGTGTGTGAATGAATCATCAATTCAACAGCATTATTTATAGTTAATCTAATTAGGTTAGATAAATAAAAGTAGTTATATTTATATCCTAATTTAAAAGAAAACAAATAAGTGGATATTCAAAATAAATCAAGGATCACCTCATCTTCGGAACGAAAAGAGTAGGCATATATATATATATATATATATATATATATATTAAGACACGAAACTAGCATTGCTTTAAAAAATAGAAGTTTAGTTATTGTGGCTTCATTCCCATAAGAAAAAAGACAAAATTTAGTTTTTAGATCATATATACATCTTTTTCTTCAAAGCAAAACATGCAAGTGTTCCCATTTCCCAAATCAAAAATTTCTTTTTGTTGACTATTAATTACTCTCCTCCCGAAAGCAAATTGATCTGCTTTCAAATAGAAATGCCAAAGACTTTGTTGCAGACATAATTATATGCTTCTTACGATCATGGGACGCACATTGTATTGGACTCTGTATTAACTTACATGAACAATGAATATTCCAAGTTAGTTGTTTGGTAGTAATATTGTTGGTAGTTTTCTTAGTTGGCAGTTAGTTCTGGTTACAGAATGTTAGCCATTTCAAAAGCATCTATAGTGGAGCATAACATGCACACCTTTCGTTTGTTATTTAACTTTTTGCTTCACGAACTAAAGTGAATCTAAGCGTCCTTCAACCTTTAGTGTGTTTCAACACCAAAGTAGCCTCCATGTGCTGCAGATCATGAACATTAAACAAATCAGCCAGATACCAACTTTTCAAATATTTTCAAGTACCTTCCATACGCTAAGCAAATTAACGGCTATTGTTGTTGTTGTTTTGTTCTCGGAAGACATAGAACCAATGTAATCCTAATATTATAGTGTTATCTGCATGGGTTAATTAATTAACACCGCACCAACATTATAGAAAAGGGGGAAAACAAAAAACATTGAAATGCTTCGTGCAAAACTAGACCGAAGAACGCATCTACGGCGATGGTAAAGGAATAGGAAACAGATTAATTGTTCGCTTGCGGTGTGCGGAAGACTCGTTATTTATCTTGGGATTGAGTTCGTTGGTAGTTCAATCCCCACCATTGCGAGTGCAGATGGGGTGGTTAAATTAGTAAAGGGCATTGGGGACCATGATGATCTCTTAGAAATCAAATAAATGAAGGATGATTAGATTCCATTTAATTTGCTTTTGAAAGTGTTTTTTGAAAATATATTTAATCCGAGGAAAAAATAATTTTTTTAATGTGATTTTAGTTTTTTAATTCAAGAAGTTAAAACTATATATATATATATATATATATATATATATATAAAACACCATCAAAAATTTCATAAAATACCTTTTTAACTTTATATTTTTTCAAAAGCACCTGCACCTCTTACCAAAACGCACAATTAGTCATTTAAGGTTTTGGGTGCTTCCACATCAGTTTCTAATTCAGATGCTATTCCACAGTTAATCCCGTCGATAATTTTTTATTTCTTCCTCTTGTTCTCGTTTTCGTTGACTTCTTTGGCACCAGAGGCACAAACACGAAGGGAGAAAATGATAAACCATCCTGCCATGGCAAATATGAACGCCTCTCTCACTAATCAAGGAGGGCGCTCCAAATAGCACAAATTTGTGTAATATTTTGGTGAATTCTCAGTTGAATTCGTTTCGCAAGAAGCGTAATAAAAGACATTCAATAGGGGGGACGAAGCTTAAAGACCAAGGAGCTAGAATAAAGCAAGATAAATAAGCAAAAGGATGTTCGGCCAGCTCCCATCCACGAATAAGAGAAGAAACATCAAAATATGATTTGGTTTTAAAAAATGAAATATTTGAAATGATAATACAGGAATATAAATAAAAATTAAAATAACACTTATATTCTCATATTATATTTTAAATAGGAGTAGAGAATCAGAATGAAATTTAAAAATTTTAATATTAAGTTTTTAAAATGGATAAGAATAATAATTTTATCAATTATAATAATGATAATAAAAATAATTATAAACGTGAAAAAGAAATAGAAAAAGATGATGATGAAATAATAATACTAATATTTTGTTTTTTGTTTTTTTATCAAACTAGAATCACGGTGGTGATAAAGAAGACGGAGATATTGATAGTATCAGAAATAATTGATAAATAATAAATAATAAATAATATATCATTATTGACAAAAATATTTTATTCTCATCTCTCCTTAAAAAAAAAAATGTATTTGATTTTCATTTCTATTCCCACTTGTGATTTTCATTTCTAACTCATTTCAGTCAACCAAATGCTTATAAAATAAAAATAAAACTTTCATTCTACATTCTTTCATGCCAAATAATACCTAAAAGCTAAAGGAAAAAATGTCTTAAAAAGTCTAGACACCGGACAGAAAATATTCAACTAATAAACTGCTAACCATAAACGGAAAGGAATCATCCAGTTCTTGCCCTTATAATTAGGCAACCATCCCTTATGCTAATTGGTAGCACCAGCGCACCACCAAAAAAAAAAAAAAAAAAAAAAAAGGTCAGAAACTTTCATTGGCCACAGGTGCAGGCAAAATGGGGTGGGTTGAAACTGGCTAAAAATCAAGCTAACTGAACGGCCAATTGAAACTGGCCGGTATGAATTTGATTATGTTTATACATACACTGCTTTCATGATTCTGATATCAGATTTCATCTAACAAAAGAATAGCTGAGGTTCGAAGTTGATCTGGCAAATGATCCAAAGTGCTGCTGAAGCGTCAAACTTTTAGCTGCTTTAAATGAACAAAACGCCTATTAAAGTTCTAATGACACTTAAATTTGCCAACCTGATTAATTATTACAATATTCCAATACAACCCTACAGGACTACTTAACAGAAAAAGTGCAAGGAAAGAATTTTCAAGTACAACTACAATTACAGGTTCCTTCAAAGTTCAGGCAGGAGTGCTAACTCCATCTATCATCCAGGTTGTTTTATCCCACACTTCTCCCTTACAGGTGACGACTTTGGTCTGTTTTGCGTTTTCGTAGTATATTTACATGTTCACTGGAGGACCTCCCTGAGATTGCAGTTCGTAAAAAAAATTAGCACTCTTTTGTATATGTGAGGAAATCAACATCAACCCCCACCAAAAAGAACATGGAAAAATAATGCCATATCGTCAAAATTACCAAAACAGAGTTTAACACTACCAATTGGAACACTTAATTGCAACACAAGAAAGATAACAGAAACAAAGAAGCTTCTAGTATCTACCTAAAGATGACTGTAATACCACTATCCAAATTCCCAAAAAGAACCTATCTTCATTGTGGAACAAACATAAAAAACATTGATTTTACCTTGAACAAAAGATCATACACAATATATTCCCAGGGCAATGATATGGACATTAAGCAGCATTTGAGGGGCAACATCTCATCATCAGAAGACGTGGAGGCAGCAGCAGCTGCATATGCATGCTTTGCAGCCACAGATGCAACAGATGCTGCTTTTCGAAAAACTGAGCCAATCCCAAATCCTTTCTTTGAAATAACAGGTGAAAAGGGGCCAACATCCTGCTGGCTTTGATCTGATAATATGAAACCTGAATTCAGTATGATGGAAATCTCTGTGCATACTATTCACATATCTAATCAACTAATAAAAAATAGCAGCTCTTTTGCCAAACAATTAGGATTCTGAAAACCCAAAACCACAAAAAGTGGGGAGGTAGGACACAAATATAACAGCGCCCCCCTCCCTCCCTCCCTCTCTCCTCCTAAAAGAAACAAAAAGGATCTAGGTATTCAGAAAAGAAGAATTTACCTGCAACACCAGCAACAGCTACTTCAACTTCCCCACGCCCTCCGGGACCTTTCATGCAAAGTTTGTCTGTTTTTCCAGGGGAATGACCAAGAAGACTCCCAAATCGAGACTTGCCAGCTGTTGGGGTAAGAGAGAGAGAGGAAGGCATATGAGAAATAAAAAAGCAAAGAAAATTGCTGGTCTTTCAGTTTCTGATACCTCTGTGAGCTGCATTGAAGTTCAGAAACTGCAAAGAATAAAATTCTTTATGCAAATAAAAAACTCATTTCACCACCCAAGGACAGAGATCATAGTTGCAATAATTTGATAAAAACCAGAAATCAGAACAATTGAGCAACAAAGTTAACTTCCAGTAAGTTGCCAAATCTAGAGCTTCAGAAGAAAAGAAAACAGAACATTTTAGACCACATGCTCCCAAAAAAATTTGCCTGAGAGAACCCAAACAAACAATTGTACAGGAAAACAGCTGAATGCTGAAGAAGTTACCAACAAAATAGAAAAACGTGCTGAAGGCATGAAGAACTGGTTAGAAAGGGTTTGCTAAGATCATAGATAAACCAGCAGTAAAAGTGTTCATCTGCTGTGGAAGCTGCTAAACAAATTGTCAGAAGTAGATAAAGAATGAATTAAGATTAAATGTTTAGAATTTAAGTCCCACAGTCCTCAGAAGGAACTTGTTATTCAGTCTAAGAAAATTAAAAAACAAGGTTTGCACATTGGAAATCAGTAAAGCTTCAATGGTTATAATGATTATTCAGCATGCTTGCCTCTGCAAAAGACTAAAGGATATTGTTGGCTTCCAATAATAAAAGCACATATAAACTAGAAGTTATATGCGTCAGGTTGAAGACAACTGAAGCAAATTCAATGTCAAAGTAAGCCATGGCGCATATGCTTCACACAAAAGCTTTTCTACAGAACTACAAGTGAATCAATAAACCAGATAGAGAAGAGCCAAATGCATATTTCTCATGCTACTCTAATAACGGAAAGTCGTCAAATATTTACTTCTGAATGAAACAACAGAAAGAAAGCAGAACCATTATTTAGTAATTTACCATCATATGCTTCTCGAACCATTTGATAGCTTACAAATCCAGAGAAAAGTGTGAGCTGAAATCGTAACCAGCAAGATGTCATGTTAATTACAAAGTGAATTTCTGAGTACTGAAACAAGGGTTCTTGGAGCCAAGTATCATCTTATCAGAATCAGATAGGAAAAAAAAGTATATACCCATTTCAAGAAAGAAGCTGCAACAAAACATAATAAAATATTAATTTTCCACAAAGGATTCAGAAAAGGCAGGATTTCCAGTAAGCAATGGCTCCAATGAGATAAGGAACTGCATGAATTGTAGATAGATGCAAGAGTAATTAATTTATTTTCATGCCCTTTTCTATCTCAGCATGTCAAAACTATGTGTAGACAACACAGGCAAACGAAAAGTCAAAATCATAATACCCTACAATAATTCATACATTTGTGCAGTAGAGATATTGCTATTGCAATTTTGCAGATGTATGCTCTCAGTCAACTAAGCTGGCAAATTTAATGTGGATTTTCTATAGCTGCACATGGCATCCACAGTGGTTGGTTCCTGGTAGTTGGAATCTAGGGCTCTGCAATAGTTTGCTAATAAAATTCTAAAGCTTTCCAGGTAAGGAGTGTATGATATGACACACTAGACACCACTTTGATCTAAGGTAAGCTAGTCTAAGAGATGCATCAAAGTGTAAGAGAATTTCAAGCAACTTAAAGCCTCTTCAAATCAGAATAGCTCAGCTAGTGGATTTCATGGTAGATCAAGGAGTTGGTATAAGTTTCACATGTTGGATGGAAAGAAGCACAAACCTTAGAATTCTTTGCCTTTGCAGAACCAGTATAATTTTTCTGAGGGAAATTACTGCTAGAACTGGCATCATGCAGTCCTTTGTCACTAGGAAATGCTGCCCCATCATGTGCATTGAGAAGTACACAATAGCAGTGGTCTCTTTCTGTCAAGACCTGATGATGGCAAAATTATAGCAAAAGCAACAATAAATCAACAAAGTTTAAAGATATATATAATTGCAAACACGTCTCCTAGATATCAAGCATTGTATACTTTCTTTCCCTCAGTGCTACAAGTTAAAAAATTTTTGCTCTTCGTATGGAAAATTCATTCTTAGTAAGGGTATGATTAATGTTAGTCCACATACTTAAGTGATAAAGATCAAATTTTATTCTGCTCCCCTTATTTTATAATTTCCATCAGACATGCATGCATGTCGACATACATAACGCACCTTGTTGTGAGAAAAACATTGCTAAAATAGAAAATGTACACTATAGATGGTAGACCTTGCAAAATAAAGCATTAAAAAGCACAACTGTCATAAGATAAGTATAGTACCACTGCATCAAAAGTGGAGTCGAAATCATCAACTGCAAAACAGATATCTGGATATGCAGGCGTTGTCTCTACTTCCTAAAAATGCATCATAGATAATGTCAGGTAAAAATTGAAGACAAAGCATGAATTAAGAGTATAACTTATTAACAGCAAATGAACTTACCTTTTTGGAGTCCAAATGAAAATTTACACGACTTGGAGATGCATAAACAGTCTTTACAACCTGCAGACACACCACAAAAAAAGTTAAGTTCGCTTCGTGGATCAGAATTTCACATAACTAACAAAAAGAAGAATGGATAATGATTTAAAAATTTACCAAAGAAACAATTATGCTATATAAGTGTGGAGCTACCTTATATATAGGAGACAATTGTGTATCTTGCCCAGCTTGATGATTCCGAAGGACTTGTTGACTGAAAACAAAAAACAATAAACAAGAATCCACAAGCACAAAGTTCTTTCATGGCTAAATAATAAACCCAGCCAGTTTCAGATCAATACAGTATTCTATTTTATCAGTCATGGGCTTTTTTAAGCAGGTGAAAAATCATAAATTTCAAAAAATTTCTTCAGTTCCAGATAAAGTTTCAGCCATATTGCAAGTAGTATACATAAATTTTTAAGGTAAAGATAAGATGTGAGAAACAAAATACCTGCAAATTGCCACGGTTACTGTGTATGATGTATGTGCAATCAAATTCAAGTAAAACGAGCGCCTCCAGTCCACCTCTGCTGAACTTTCACTGACTAAGTTATCCAACTATTTAACAAATGTAAAGATAGTGAGCACCATAGCAAGAGTAATTCTTCCATATACAAAAAGGTCACATCTAACTATGGTATACTTCAGCGTTAAGAAAAAAACAACAAACCACATTCTAACCCAAGTGTCTTCTACAATAGCCACATTATCTTTCCAGCATGCTTTGGGTAGAAAGCCACAAACAATAAACATGCTGGCTTTCCCTCAGAAAAAATATTATCGCAAAATCTAGCTCACAATTTTATGCTGCTCTTTACCTTAGGTGCCCACCTGCGTACAAAGTAAGGAGCGGCACACTCTACATTATCATTGAAACCATATCCTTGCGTGCTCTACAACAACATAATAAACAAAATTGGTACAAATTCAATATCAACATTAAAGCAGACCTAGCTAATGACTACTACAATTTTTTTTCCCAAATTAAAAAAAAAAAAAAGGAAAAAAGAGAGAGAGAGAGAGAGAGGCTGATGAAGTTTTAAGAATAAACAACGCTTCACCATTTTTCTAACGAAAAAGACGAGATCATCATCCTGCTTTCTCCTTGATTCTTTACCACGAATAAAATACAAATCTAACACATCATGCCAAAACCGGGAGTCCATTTCAACATCTGATGCATCTTCCTCTTCCACTGTAGTTTTCCCTAACAAATTGGAGTGTTTCTTCACCATAGACAACAACTCATACCTACTAGTTAAACAGCAACTTCTGTGATAAAATCTCACACGCAAATAATTCTTCTCTACTAAAAAACTAATCAAAGAACAGAATCTGCAGTACCTGGAAGGAGTCTCTCCGCCATCGCCTAGCATTTCTGTTTCTCAAATTGGAAAGAAATTCGTAAACGCAAACCACTTAGCGTCGTGATTAACGAGACCGATTGATTTTCAATAGCGACCTGGCTAGGATTTTCGAATTTCCTGCCCAGCCATCATTTCGACTAAAAAAACTGGCGCCAGCGTGCGGTTGCGGCTCGATGATCTGATTCTTTTTTCTTTTTTTTATTCGAGACTGAGTAAGGAGTGAGAACGGTACTTGGAGGATTATCCATTGCGTCTCGGTAAATGAGAAACTTTGTGAAGCTACTTTTGATCGAGACAGGTGTCAATATAAGGGTGTTTTCTGTAATTTAAAACTTTGCCGATGTGTATGTTTTTGGCCTGCCATCAAAACGAACGGTGAGGATGCGTGAATGGTTGCTGATTGGTTGTGAATTGCGCGGCGTTAGTTATCACTCGTGATCATAATTATAGTAATAATAGTAAGGCCTTGGGCCTGGTGCGTGTGGCTGGCCCAACTTGAGCTGGAGTTCTCAGTTAGCCGTTCTTCGTGAAGGGCAGTGCATGAACGACACGTACTCTTCTAAGACACGTGGTTTTAAACTGGTTTCATATATTTTGGATAAAGATAGGTAAGTCCTTGTAACTAGTACGGTGTTCCACTTCAATGCCTCGAATTTTATAAAAATAAAATTGCGCTTGTAGTTTTCGATTTCTCGTGATAAGATCCAATCTAATTAAAAAGTTATCTTACATTTAGCCTAATTGCTTTCCATTTCGAAATTACAAGCTACATAATTTTTTTCTAGAAGTTAAGTATTATGTATGTCTTAAAACTATTATTAGGATTGATTTTATATACTATGAAAGATATAATAATAATTAATTTATTTTTTGTGTTAAATGTACCTGTAAGTGAAATTTTTTATATTAATTAAAAATTAAATAAACGAGGTGCTTATTTATAAGGTAGTTCCACGATCCATACAATCCAATATTTTTTGAATTTTTGGTTGAAAGTGATGTTTTTAGTTTTATGATTTCTTATATACTTAGGTCTAATGAAAATATAAAATTGATGCAGTTTGCCAGACACAAATAGCTTTTATATATAAAAGTCAGCTATTTTGTCAATCACAAACTATGCCTAACAAATTAACTGTTAAAAATATTTTGTTAGAAAGAAAATTATATTCAAGTGAATAAGATTTACATGTAAAAAGAAAATTATTTAGAATCATATGTGAGCAAAATATCATAAAATTTCAGTTTTAATATATGTGTGTGTGTGTTAGACTTGTTCTATTAGGGGAAAAAATTCCTTGAAACAAATCATTTGTAAAGACTGACTAGAATACTATCCTAATGGATACTTGCACTTAAGAAATAAAATCTGGTTCGACTTTGAGCATTGGTAAAATAAATAGTATTATTATTTTTGAACATAACGAGTGATTTTAGAATGAGAACGTCTTTTTGCATAATCAAAGTTTTGGATGGCATTTACTACACCGCTGTATTTAAAAAAAGTTCTTTTCATTTATAAAATTTCTTAAAATCATTCATTATCTAATTGCTAGTTCATAATCAGACCGATTATGGAATCCAACAATCGAATGGTTTTAAACTGATTTTTTTAAGAAAGCAAGTGCCCTTTATTATAATTTGTATGCGACTCCTCTCATGAAAGCTTACGAAACACGAGGAAGGTGACAGGAACACAGGAAAAATATGGAAGGCGAATTATCTCCAATTTTGGGCCCGGCAACGTGATCCAAAACCTTGCTCTTCTCTCTGCTCCTTCTTTGGGGTCGGACTATTAAAGGCTCCTCCTCTCTCGCTAAATAGTGTTTTCGCGAGCTGGGAGACCAACAAAGGTCATCGACCCGGCAGAAAGCAAAAAGACGAACATTTTCTCCATATATTTCCGTATTCCATGGGATAGTGTCACTGGAGCCACTGCCATCAGACAGTAATCCAAATATTTCCGGTTTGTCCTCGTTACCCTTTGAAAAATCATTAGTTACTATAATTAGAAGATTTGGCTGTCCTATGGTTCCTTGATTTAATTTGTTATTTCCATGAACGATCCGTGACAGAGTGTTGATTTTGGGTGGGGCAAGGACCCCACTAGCAAATTAGCATATTGACCGAATTTTAAATTCTAGCATTACCGCATTTCAAATTAATACCATAGACGATGAAAAGCTTATACCTTTAAAGGTTCCACCGGTGAAAAGAAAAAAAAACTATATGAAAACTTATATGCTGGTGGGATTCAACAGCGAGATCCACAGTGGAAACAATCAAGTTGTTATTACAACCGAAAAAAAATGAAGCTGAATATTAAAACCGGCGAGCAATTATTTTTGTGGGGTTAGACTTGGGTCTCACTTGACCTGCCACCGCAAAAAAGTTGGCGATGATGTTATATTATTTACAGGATTAATTACGAAATGACATTTAATTAAATGAGAGCAATATGAGTATAATCAGTCATTTTTAAAGCTCGAATAAATCATTCTCATATTCCAATTAAACACATCAATCTTTGGATTCCTTGAAGTGCCGAGCTACGGTAAAAGAAAGTATCCAACAAATAAAAAACATCACGATAAAGATCAATGACACCATCATTTAAAATCACGAGACAAAAAAAAAAAAAAAACTTTTGAACATTTAAAGCAACTTTAGGCTTTAATGCCGCGTTCACCTTTTATTTTGTTCGATATTGGGAAGTTGAAGCATCATGGCTACAAAAAAGAAAAAAAAGCAAGATCATATAATTAAAAGGGAAAAAAAACCCGTTGATGATAGCTCGAGTAGATTAAGTGCTTAAGCAAAAGAAAGCAACGGTTGAGTGAATCACTTAAGAAAGCAACACTCCAGATGATTGCTGGTCTAGGCTTAACTCGCCAAATTGAAAGACCCAAAAATGACTGAACGATGGAATCTGAAACTGAATGATTCTATATTCCACCAAAATCTAATCGATCAAAATTTGGATGATCATCTTCATGATTAAACCAAACTTAATTTCTTCCACAAGCTACAGTAATCAAAACAGAGAGTGGAGAGATTTTACCAATACATAAAACCCAAAAACATAACAAGAACAGAACTTTTAATTAGTGAAATTTTTCACGAGCACATAAAATTTCGAACTCTCTTATTGAATTTTTTTCATTCATCTTGATCACAGTATCATTACTCATAAGAGATCCGACCATCAAACACGACTCCCCTTGATTTTTCCATTGTCCAACCTTTCCAAAAAAAACAAAAAGAACAAGCAAACCAACCTCACACATCCTATAAAACCCCACAACTTACCAAAATGAACGTTTTTTTCAAGTTTACTTATGGAACCTCATGCATTATGCATAAATTCAGTCCTCCTCAAATGCTCCAGTACTCCTCTTGCCTTTCCCTGTCCTTCTCCGGCTAATAGTGCCACCTTCAAGATGCCTCATGTTTCCATCGTTTAGAATCAAGGGTGCATCATTAGCTTCATCACCATCATCTTCAGTGGCTATACGGATGCAAGAACATCTTTCTAAGGATGCAAAAAATGCACTTGCTACACCATTGATGAACCACATAGCAACCCCATCAAGCTTTCCACACCCGGGTGATGAGCCATGGCTGGATGGGGCCCGGACCCTTGGCTCAACAGAATTTGAACGAAAATTGAAGAAGCTAGAGCAATTCGTGGAGGTGGTTGCAGCCATGAATTGAAAGATCCAGGTTGTAGTAGGCTCAGGAAGAGAGATGAGATAAAGAAGCCTAAGTTTTATCTCAAGGTTTCAAGGGGTTTGATATTGAGGTAGCTAATTATTGCAAGGCAATTTCTGAAACGTGCCCCTGTTTATTTGTAAAATTACGAGGCGTGTCCTCGTAAGTACTATGAGATACACTACATTGTGATTGATTCTCATTCACGTCCCTACCTTAGTGGTAAATTGACCAGAGAGCCATCGTTTGCTGACTAGTTAGTTGGATCTTTTGGAGATGATTCTTGTTTTTTTTTTTTTTTTAATTATTGTAAAGTTTCAGTATATTTGGCAGAGTCTTCCTTGAATTTTTAAATTGAAAGAAATAGAAAAAAAATCATTATATTCAAAACTCAACAATTATTAGCATTTGCTGATGTAACACTCTTTTTCAATTGAAGCCTATTTTGTATCTAACTATAAAAAATAAGGAAGTATTTGTACAACTTTTCTACGTAAGAAAGAATAAGGACTCTACAAACTACAAGAAGCAATTGCATTTTGTTAATCATGTAATCAACCATTGACAAAGCAATAAATTCGAAGCGCAGGATTAAAAATAAACCAACAAAACTTGCAGTAGATGAACTAATATCACCTTCCAAATGCCAATACCTAGCCACCTATTCGCATTTAGAATGAAACAAACCTTGCAGAGCTAGAAACAATATCTGCTATACCTGCATATCTGCGATGAAAGGCACAGCAGAGAAGGGACCAGTCTCAGCCTGTTACCTTGTCCTTCACGTTGATTAATTTCCGAATATAACGGTCAAAATTTACGCTATGTAACATAATAATAATAATTTTTAAAAAATAAAAAATTTCAAAAGATTGAATGAGCTGTCAAATAAATGCGATTTCTTTTTTAATTTAATCTTAATTGACAGATAAATAATTTAAATACATTATTTATCATCGAATAAAAAAACTGAACATTCTTTACCAAATTAAGTATCACTTTTTCTTTTTTTAAAAAAAAAAATAGGAACAAAACTCTGAAAATTTTTATTAAATAAAAAGCAAAAATACAAAAAGAGTGAAATCAGTCAGAATTCAAATATGGGAAGACAAAACAACTTAATCCCTATAATAAACATAATACACAAAATGTTATATCCTATAGTTGTAGAAATCAAATCTATCATGCATATAAACAAGTTCAATGAAAGCAAATTATTGTAAACAAAAACTCTTCTTTTTTTTTACTCTATAATTATAAGTTAAATTAGTTAATCTATCAGCCATAATATTTTATTCTCTCTATACATAACTAAAAACATATTTGTCTTACAAAATATGACATTGCCTGAACTAATGTATATATTACCACGAATTATTGATTTTATTCTGAATTGTATTAACAATCAATAAATAATCAGATTCTATGTATACTGAATAAAATGATAAGTTTTTACACAATTTAAAATTATATTGTAAAATTAATATATCTCCTTTTATATTTGTTCATGCACAAAAAAAAAAAAAAAAAAAAAAAAAATTTACCATATAAGAAAACTATGGAACAATTTAGATGCAAGAGGACAATTCCCTCTCTGCCCCTCAGAACCATCAATATCATCCCCACGTTGTATACGATGTACATCTGGCAAATTATGGAAGCGATCAACGATAAGACTTCAAATATAATGGAATGAAAGAAAAAGATTATAATGATGCCACCCAATAAGAGAGGGTGCATCTCATCATAGGTGGTGACCCCATCCATCACCTATCTAACAAACCTACTCTAGATCTAAAAGCAGAGAGCATTTCTTTAATAGCAAGATGTTTTGCCTCATCAAATCAATGCATGAAATTATGAAAATGTGCGCGTGCTTAAAAAAGAAAACGAGGAGCTTTTTATCGATTACACTTGATTGCTTTAATGTTTGAGATAATGCATTCATCTTTTCTTATACATTGAAAATATTCTTTGATGTATCTTTTTAAAAATTATTCACTCTTTTATGTTTCTGTATGTTCATTTTTTCTTTCATGGTTCTCCTTTTCAAATTTTAGGTAAAAATACTTCTTAAATCATCAAAAGAATTCCAACAGCGTAAAAAATGATAAATTATTTTTAAAAACTCAACAAAACTTGAAAAACTCATAAAATAGAAAAAATAAAAAAGCTTAGAAAATAAAAAACTTGGAAAACGTATAAAAACATTAGAAACTAAAGAAAATTTCGAAAAACATGTCCTACAAAACTCATTTCATTGCCTAAGATATATTTTTATTAACGAAACTTCATAGCCATGGTTTTTCTTTTTTTTTTTTTAGGTTTTTTCAAAGTTGGTTTAATTTTTTTCAGTTTTTTTTTAATGTCTTATGTGTTTTTGTAAATTTTTCATATTAATTTGTGCAAAAATGTTTGTTTCCTTTGCAGTTAGCAACAATTTTTTTTTTAAAGCTGGTATCTAATATCTGACTCGAGCTGGTTAAAGTTTTTTAACTCGGATATATGCCAAGTTATTTGAGTTTGATCAAATGAAAAATATCATTTAAATCGGAAAAAATATTTGAGTTTAAACCCCTCGCATTACAAAGAGTAGAGTTGCCTCTGTTTATAAGCTCAACTCTTAGCCAGCAAAGAGGTTGCATAAAAGCTACTTTTGAGTTTTGAGTATTCATATCCTAATGTGCCATTTTTATTTCTTCTTCTTTTTTTCGCTTTACATGAACAGCACCATGCTCAAGGGGATGGTTCAAAAGTACGAGAAAAGTGGAGTAGGAAACAGATAGCAGATTGTTTCGAAAAGGATTGCAGAAATAAAAACCAAGTAGAGGTAAAACTAGGAAAAAAGAAAAGAGAAACCAATGTCCCAAGACCCAAATCCACTAGGAACTAATATGCCATATTTACAACGAGGTTGGTTTACCCATTCTCTCCGGCTGGAAATAGTATTTTAATAGGAATTAAAGCAGCTTTAGTTGGTTAGGAGCAACTAATTCCAATATTGTCATTGGTTGTCGTGGAGACGAATTTTGGTGATATGACTGGTTTGACAGCTATAATTGCAGGGACGAGAGTCTGTTGAAATCTGAAGCCTTCTAACTCTGCGATCAGTGCGATGGGGTGGAATGGGACCATATGAGTTTGGGTATTTACTGGGAGAGCTCTTTGACTATTCTGTTTCTGGGTCAAACCAACTCTGTTCCATCTAGCTATTTTATGGATTCTTCTTTGGACTGGGCCTTTATGGACTCCGATTCACGAAGTGTTTGTTCTCATGACTTGTGAGGAAAAGACGTTTTCGGCAATTTTTTTATCCGAGCACAAAGACACAGGAATTACTGATTGTACCTCTATTTCTTAGGAAGGTTTTCTCTTTCAAATGAAACCATAACAATAGGATTATAGATTTATGTGAATTTGAGAAGTACAACTTAAAGATGTACCTAATCATTTCTCCAAATTAACCAACAATAAAATTGTAGGTATGATAGAGTTATAATAAACATAGAACGGATTAATCAATTTAGATAGGATTTATGGAATTTTCTTATTTTTATTTGAACATGACCTGTCATATTTGTTAAACCTTAATTTTAGAATTTAAATTAACGAATAGCATTTAACTGAACGACATTTCAAAAAAAAAAAAAAAAAAATCAAAATAGAGAAAGAAATTAGATTAAAAAAGAAACAGAAATTTAATAGTATAATCCTTCTCTCTCTTTTGGAATTAACACTGAGGATTTCCACAAAAAAAATAATCCCAAGAAGTAAGAAGTAGAACACACACACACATAAATATATATTCTAGCTTGATGAGTTTTTCTAATATTTTTAATGAATTTCTATCGATAATGTTGATTTGTTAATCTTATAAAAAAACTCTTCACGAAGAACTTCAATGATTGAGCCATGGGTTTGGAATCTACTCATTTAGATAAATAAGATTTTTAATTGAGATTTTCTCATATTTTTTTTATCAATATAATCCTCATTATCATAAAATTTAAATCTTTGAATTCAAATTGAATGGTTATCCTCATTATCATAAAATTTAAATCTTTGAATTCAAATTGAATGGTTATGATTTAGTGTATTTTAAAAATAGAAATAAATTAACTTTTTATTACTATTTTTATTTCTCTCATCTAATTAAAATAATTAAATTCAAAATCATTAATGATATTTAAAACATAACCGGTTATCTTAATATGAGAAAATTGAAATACGAGATTTTACAAGAGAATTTAAAAGAGTGTTCGCCTAAAATTAATTGGCAGGAAATTTAGCATGACTCATTTTCTACGTACCCCATATTAGGTGGGAAATCCAGTCAAATCACTTGTTTTTTGGTAACACATTCAAATCACATTGAAAGGGAAACTTATTTTTGTGGAGGGGACATGAGGAATGGAAAAAACTTGAATACATCGCCCCATTTAAGTTGATCACACAATGAATTCACAAAGAGGGATGATTTTTCTTCTCTGCATCTTTTTTTCCTATTCTTCTGTTACTTTTCCAAAGGAAATACTGTGACTTTCTTGAAGTTGAAAGAGACAAGGACATCACTGAATTCTAATAAATTAACATCAAAGGATAGAAAATCTTGCTAAGAGATCTAATCGTTAATGTACGTACATTCGAGCCAAATGTTTGGCATATGAACTCCAAGTCTATTATTCCTACAAATGTTACTAAACTTTCCATTTCTTGGATGGCTTAGCGCAGTCACTGCATAGTCAGAAACCGTGTAATCCCGTCAACGTGTCATGATCTGATTGATTATTTTACAACATATATAGTAATGCCAATCAAATTATCTCGACCTTAATTACCTATTCACCTCTATATAAAGTCACCTCCGATCCCCTTCCCTCTCATCTCTCTCTACTCTGCACCATAGAAGAAACCCAAAGAGCAACTGATAGCCAAAAAAATGTGTAAGCTTGCAACCCTTTTCACCGTAGCCCTTCTCCTCAGCTTTACGCTTACTTACGCTGCTCGCCCCCAGCCGGTCCTATCCGATGACTCTCTGGTGAAAACCTAACTTGGCCTACATATATTTAAATCATCTTGTCTCTATTTTTATTTGTATTGGTAGAATATAATTATACATTAATTTTCAATTGGTTTTTTTTTTTTTAATTTAATTTGATTGTTGCGTGTATTTGTTCTTTCTTTGTTGTGAGTTTGTGCTCTTGTTTTTTATGCGATACTTAGGATTTCAAGGCAGATGAGGCTGCGGTTGTTGAGAGTTGTGAAGGACTAGGGGAGGAGGAGTGCTTGATGAGAAGGACCCTCGCAGCTCATGTGGATTATATCTACACGCAGAAGCACAAGCCATGAGCTAGCTATAGTGCAATTGTAAAATCAATAAAGTCGGAATTTAGTAGCTTAAGATGGTAATAATATCTGAATTGTGAAGAAATTTATCCTGCTTGATCTTGCTATTTGTATTATGTTATAGTTTCATATTTTTACTTCATTCTATTTTCCTTTCTTTGTGATCATCTTTGTTAGCAGGAAATAATTCATTACCAGAATAAGCAAGTAAAACAATCAAGTTGTATTTTAGCACCACGGCGTGTAATCCATTGTTCATGTGTAATTTCTTGCTAGTACGGTTCTGTCGCTGGAAATGGGCTAATGGCTGCAGAGAATTAAAGTTTCATGGTGATTAACATGTTTTGGAAAGCCCACCAAAACATAAATTGATTCGGTGAGGTTTACTAACCATAATACCTTGTGTGTTAGTTCAAGCAAATTTGTCCAAGACGTGTAAACAACTGCGGTACCTTCAATTGCCAATCCCAACAATTCCAGTGCCTCACAAAAAGTCACGAGTTTTCTGTATTTTTTGGGCTTGAGTCAGAAGACAAATGAAGCTCCATAGAAATTATTTGGAGAAGTGCAACGACCTCTGTCGTCCAAATGCATGTTCTCACATCACATCAGCCAATGGAAATTCTTTTTCATTGACGACTTGGAAGAAAAGTAGGTAGACTCTGCTAGCACAGGTTTTTGTTGTTCTCGGGCCAATGAAAGCAACAAGTTATGACAAGATTTGGTACCCTTTTCCAGAAATCACACCATAAGCTTGCAATGTTAATTCCTATTCGGTTCAGCGCAATTATATTATCTTGGGTATTAGAGAACACTATTTCCACAATCCATGTCACTTGTAGCAAAAGTTGAAGGCACTAGGCAGAGTGTCAAACACGGATGTAAAGTCTTAGCATAACCTACAGGCGTTTCCAATGAACTTCGAATATCACTTTCAAGTGCAACTTTTGAAATAGCATCAACAGCTATGGCTGAACTTTTACTTTTCTTGTGGATGTTTGACCACGTCAACCAGGAACAATAACAAAGCTCTGGTTGGTAGAATATAATGGATTGGTGTAAGAATCGCTTGAACTACCGTCTCAACTGTAGTAATGGGGTAGGAAACATTATCAATAACTACCCGTTTAACCCATCAGGACTATTCCGCTCATACTCCACTATCAGTTTTGAATTCAGATCCACTTTCAATTCTGAAAAGAATCCAATATTCTTGCTGTCGAATCATCACCAGTTTGAATAATTCCATTTTTCCTTTAAGCATAATAGATGAATGACAATCAATCTCATCATATCTCTGCCAAGGCAATGGTGACTGAATCACAAGTGCACAATTATTTTCCAAGAACAGCAAGGGAAAATTATAAGGGACTGCACACTCAAGATTGATGGAGAAGGCGAAAAATAGTGAAGTATTTTCAAATGGATGAGCTTCCAATGAACACACAACTACTTCATTAGAAAAAAAATAAAAAAAAGCCTCTCAAGTCCGAACTTCTCTGTTGTAATATAACTTGACTACAAGGAACAAACAGATCACTCACTACTTCTATCCTCGGCAAATGACCCAACCACTAAATTCATCTCAGTATGCTGTATCTTAGGTAACATAGTTAACTCGTTGTAACTCTATTTGTATGAGTAAAGGGGAGAAAGTAAATGCCAGTTCCTAACATCCCATCTTTGATCACAATAAGAAATTTATTCGATTTGCTTCACAGCAATTGCCTAGGAATTAGCATAGTCTGCACAGACTGTAATATATGAACCGGAACAAAAAGCACGAAACTGTCGTTTCCATGTCAACATAAAACCAAGCATATTGACTATAAATATTCGAGTGTTGGCAAGATTGTAAATTTGATGCATCAAATCTGATTTCTTTTACTTTGTTATTTTTCATTTTTTCAAAAAGGAGCAATTCCAAACAATTGAATAGAATAATGCAAATAATTGAAGCTAAAACCACCATCAAGAAGCTATCAAATCAAATAGACGAACACAGATAATTGAGGCTAAAACCACCATCACAATAAGCATGCGCAATTTAATATCATTTTAATCAAGAGGACAAAGAATACATACAAGGCCTCTCTGCTTCCACAAGAAGAGCTGCTTCATGGGGAAGGAAGAGCCCTGCCAGTTTAAGCAGGTAAGAGAACCTTAGTGCCACCCAGAACATGTAAATACAAGGCAAGGCATACTGTAACGATAACAGAGGACTTAGCCCCAACATATCTAACTACTTCAAGTCCCCTGTCTACAACCTCTTCCTGAACCACATTGAGACTTCTTTTCACCCCATCTGACATCTTCCACAGTATGAACTCCACAATGGATCTTATCGTTTCCAATGTCACCCTCCCAGTCACATCAAGCACAAACTTCCTATTACTTGGCACTGACAAAGTAGATGAAACCTTGCCAACCCATCCACCACTCTGAACCCCATCAACAAAGTTTCCATCTTGCATACATGTTTCTCGCTTGAGATAACCATCTTTTGTCGCACTCAATTCTTCACCCTGCTCAACAATTGAACAAGCCGAACCCGATTTTTCACTCGAACTTGCAGTCAAAACTTGGTGAGATGTTTTCACAAGAGTTTCCACAGCTCCATTGCAGATTGACACCAGAACGTCCCTCACATTGTTTTTATGCTTTGGATTTGTCAAGCCAGTGAAAAGCTCATCATAAGTATTGATCTGCAACGTCTTATCAAGATAAACAGCAACCGCGGTGCTCACAAACTTATGTATGCAATCAGCAATGAGCTCCCTACACCGATCGTCACTAACCACACCAATCCATCCAGGCACATCCGAGACACTCGACCCCAATTGACCCCCACCACTCGAATAAAACCCCAAAACCAAATTCCTCGCAAAACTACCAACAACAACAGAAACAAACCCGGTCCCCTCATTAGAAAGCAACCTCTCCATCACCCTATTAGAAAAACTCGAATTCCCCGAACCAATCCCTAATTTATCATTTCCAGAACCCAAATTATACCCTCGCAGAACCCCGACAGTCAAGGCCTGAGTAACCCTAATTAAAGACTCGGAAAACTCATCCGATTTTACAATTTTCGAAATTTGCTTTAAACTATTGGGGATTTTATCCGAATCAGATTGCAAAAACTCCTTCAAATCCTCGGAGACAATACTAATAGTCTCCGTTGAATCAGAAACCATTTCAGCAATAGAAATCATAGCTCCCATAAGTTTCAAAAATCTCCTCCTTTTCCTTATCACAGCAGGCAAGTTATACACCTTGTAAACCCCATAGCCAGATACACCAAACACAGCTAGTAAAATTAACAATTTCTTTTGTCTCCTAGACAACTCTGAACCCCTTTTGAACAATTCAAGATCCATCATTTCCGCAAATTGTGACCCACGGGCTTGAATTGTGAAATTGGAGAAAGGATAATGAGCGCACAGACGTGGGTTGTTTATAAAATTGAGGAATCTAGGGTTTGGGTTCTTTTTAATGATGTCAAATGTTTGTTGGAGATATTTTGGATTGGTTGTTGAATGTTTTAAGAGGAGTAAATAACATTGTACGAAAGTGGAGCTGGTTAGTTAATGAGGGGAAACTTTCAATCTGTTTATGGGTTTTTTTATTTTTTATTTTATTTTATTTCTCAAATCGAGGGGTCCTGCGTTCGTTTGATGTAAAAGTTTTAGATTGGAAGTGGATTTGTCACTCTGTCTGATCCTACTGTGCATCACGCTATTAATATAATCAATCACATTTTCAGATCGAATGAAAGTAAAATAGGGAAAAATATTGAATTTGTACTATTGACTTGGACCATTTCCACGACAAATTTTTTTATCATGAATCAATCACATCATTTCGTTGTTATGTTATCTGTAGGATTTTTACTCCCAACAACCACCTCCTTGGTATTTTCTGTGCCGTTTGCGTTTTGGTAAATGTTTTAACTGGATGGATAGAGCGATTAGACTGTTGAATTGGACAATTTTGACAGATTTCTTTTGGTGTATTTATTTTTCAGTTCTCTTTTGCTGTATTTATTCATTTTGGTATAACAGATACTTGCATGAATTAGAGAAACTCCGTCAATTTTAAGAATTGATGTTGTATTCATGTCGACCTTCTTTCTAGGAGATCCCAAATTCAACCTTCTTCCTTGTAACAAAAAGAAAAAAATTGGATCAAGACAAATTCTACATCACATTTTACAAATTCTGAAAGAAATTTAGAAAAACGTTAAAAATGCTAACCACCACCTCTGGTGTTTTTTTTTTTTTTTTTTTCAAATTTTGTAGCTTTGCCTACAGTAAACGATTTAACGTTAAGCGAACGATTAAAAAACCATAGATTGAAGGATAAAGTCTCTCCGAGTTTTTTTTTTTTTTTTTTTTGCCATTTTGTCTATGCCATTTAAAATTACTACACGAACATTTTATATAATATTTAAAAATGGAAGGAAAAAAAGGAGGCCGATTTCACTAGCAACAAGCATTCTTTTCCGTTGCTGTGTCATTTTAAGTTTATAAGACCACATGTTTACAACCATCGCAAAATCAATCAACAAATAATTGCTCTGTATAAAACCTGATTCAAGCACCCATCATGTACAGAAAGAGCTCGCCAAACAAGAAGCATCACAGACCCCCCAACCCCCTCCCCTACATGGTCCGAGGCATGCAGTGAGTTGACCATGACCTCAGCCCTAATGTTCATACCAGATTACTTTAAAGTTTCATCTAGAAACCAATCAGCAAAGCTTGCCCCAAGCTCAAGATTGGAAGTAGTTTTATGTTGTTTTAGTTTCAGTAACCTCCGAAACTCTCTTAGATTTTATTGGTATGCTGTTGCTGGCATCATCTTCAAGATCGCTAAAAGATATGTCTTCTTCATTCCCCACAGGAATTATGGTCTTGTAACCACCCAAGTCAGAATCTTCCTCATCTAGCCAGTCATCCTCATCCTCATCCTCATCATAGTTCGGAACCATTATTTTCAACGATGTACCAACCAGCTGCACATCCTTATCCTCAGTTTTTATCACCATCTTCTCTTCAATAACAGACTTGTCAACAAAGTGCATCTCCGTACTCATAATTGGGTGCTTCTCAGTCTCATAATCTGCTGCCGTGCTAGTGGTCTGTTCAAAATCAAATGTCCTGGCACACTCGAAATCTTCTTGTAGGACATTATCACTATCTTTTACTTGAGTACTTCCGAACCAGGCAGATTCTGGCTTGGTTTGCTTATGTAGCTCCTGCATCCACATTGATCTAGCTTCCATTACCTGCAAGTAGTGGTTGTTGCTTGTAACTACAGAAGCTTGTGAATTTCAAATATCTCAGGAAAATTATGCTAATGCCTAATGCCCCATAGGATAACATCAATCATCAAAGAAAGATTGCAGCAACGTTTCTCCACAGATGCACAACAAAATCATTCCCTTTTATTCAAAAGATATTGCAGCATGTGGCAACCTGTCAGACAAGTGCTCTTCCCCAGGTCATTTGCATGGCCAAGAATTTACCAATTACCAATTAAACCAATGAATCCTGAGAACTCGATATGAAATGCACTAGCAATTTGCCAAAAAGAATACCAACACAATATTCCTCTTACTTTTCCCTTAAGCTAGATCACATGCTTTTTCACTCACTGTACTTCGTAAATTCCGTAAGTCCCTTACAAAAAAAATATAAGACCCATCATGAAAAACTGGATACAATATCACTTCCAGCATACCTAATCATCTCAAAATGTTGCACCAGCACATTATAGAAGATAACAATTTACTTCAAAAAAGTTCCCAATACTCAACCAGCTTACAGCTATAGGAAGAATCAATTACAACTCACAAGCATCACCTATGTGTTTATTAATGTATTCAAGCATACAGTTCACCGAATTGAACCATTAGTCCAGTGCACCAAAATATTCCATGAAAGATTATACAATCACCAATTGGTACTCAATGGTTGATATTATTTGGCAGACCCATAGATGGAGAATCAACCGTGAAGATACACACAAACAAAATATAGGAAGATTGCATTTCCAAACATAAACACTATGATGTTCAACAGATTTCTATTATGTGATAAGTAAAACCGTGAAAACATGAATCAATGATCATTTTTATTGTTGATAAAGGATGAATACGCAATAGGGAAAAGAAGTTTCACAAGGTTAACAAGAATGAAGTCACACTGATCCGACATATAGAGGAATTAAGAAATGTTTTTGAAGTTGAGAAGGTTTGAATCAATTTCATTGAATGGTAAAAAATTGGAACCCTTTTATGAGTTTTCAACCAAAACAAAAGGGATGACTTGAGGTCATAAGGAATTAGAAATTTAATTGGACTAAAAAAATATTACCTGAGGCGAGGACAAAATTTCTGCATCATGCTTGTTGAGACGCGAATGCAGAAGAACAAAATAAACTTTCCAAAAGTAACTCTCAGTCATATGGCAAGGGCAAAGTTCAATTCTGAGAGCAGCTAGTCTGGGAGCAAATCGTTCAACAGCCAAAGCATGCTCTTGTTGAGCATTGGACATATCAAAATCTAAATGAAGGTGAAAAAAGAAAACTATTATAGATGCGCATGTTGCAAGAATCACATAAGTAGTGATCATGCAGACTATCAGTAGAAAAATATAATCAAGAATGAACATATCAAAAGCAACAATTAAGCACACTTAAAAGTGACAAAATGGAACTTAGCATCCAAGTTATGATTGGAACTTGTCACAAACAATGCTAAAATGATTCGAAGCAATTGAAACGCATATTCAATGCATGTGATCATATTTGAACATCAGAATTCTCAGTACAGAACCACTAATTCCGAGCTCAGCAATCGTTTGATATAATTCAAATTACAGATAATGCTGAAAAAGATGAGAATCAGGCACTTTGCGCTTCGACATTCCATCTTGAATAATACATTGCTAACTAATTCTCCACTTATCTAACAAATTCCATTGCTGTGTTTTTCACTTTTAGCAAGTGCAAGAATTGAATACCCAACATGACATAAAAGCCCATTTGTCCCATGCCCATACTTTTAGTTAGAATCCTCTCTTAGGGCCAACAACCTAGTTGTTACTGTCAATGAGCTGTAGCTCAACTAGCATTAGCGTCCCCCTTTCCTCCAAGAGGTCTCGAGTTCGAACCTCTCCTATGTAACCAAAAAAAAAAAAACACCTATTTGTCACTGAGGCAATAATACCTATGCAATGCCACTTCTAACCGGAACCCAATCTCCACGGCATCACCATTTAGAGCACACATTTAGCACAAAAGCATAGCATTTATGCAAAGAGACATAGATAATTCCAATTAGCACATTACCAACTCGCAATGCTCCAATAATTAATCAGAAAACCAAAAAAATCAAATTAGACAATGAAAGAACTTGAATTTAAAAAAAACACTTAAACGCACCATCTAAATCCTCTTCTTCATCAAGAGGGAAATCCAACCAAGTTTCTGGATGCATCGCGATATTCCTCGCAAACGCCAAAACCTCATCGGTAATCCCTATCGCTCCTCCTACCCCCCAATTATCGTCGTCCTTATCGTCTCCATCCTCACCTCCAAGCTCCTCCCTCTCCAATTCCTCCTGATTCTCTTCTCCCAGATTTTCTCTCTCATTTTCCTCCGATCCAAACGGGAAATAATTGGACGCCATCTTCGATATGTCCCTAAACCTTCCTCCGATCTCGGAAAAATCGTGCCTGATCCCCGAATCAGACGGCTCTCTTTCTGCACAAGAAGATGCAGATCGATCAGAGGGCTCTGATTGGTCCAAATTAGAGACTGAATGATCCGGTGGCGGAGCGAGAAACGAGGCAACCCCCAAAGTTGACGCGTCAGAGTTTGCTTGAATTCTGTAAGGTCATCCTTAACGCCTCTACGCGCTTCTTCTTCTTCTGATTCCTTTTGTTGTTCTTCCTTGTCGATTTCGTTTTGTTTTCGTCTTTCTTCTTCATTACGCTTTACTGGTGAGTAGTTGTGAGGATTTTTGGATGGGACTTCATTTTCAGCGTAATCATCGTCATCGTCGAGTCTAAGGGAGGTAGCGATAGAGCGAGCCAGCCATGCCATGGCTTTGCTTTGGAGACGAGACCAGAGGAGAGGGGGTTGAGAAAGTGACTGACGGGAAGGCAGGGGTTTGTTTAAAATTAAAGTTTTGTTGGGGGGAATCTGGTGGTTCGGTCATTTTCTTTTACTGCCAATTAAATGACGCCACGACGTAAGGGCGGTAAAAACTTAATTACTGCTAGTTAACGATTTCCTTTTCTTTGTTTGATTTGACGGGGTAAAGAAAATGGCACCAACAATTCATGCCGTCGGCATGTTACTTCTTTTCTTTTATTTGTTTCTGTATTATACTAAAACTAAAACTAAAACTAAATTCCCTTTCACGATCATATATTTCAGTGAATCGTCTATACATTTACAAGTTTGTCTTCCATATATTATTTATAATAACTACTATTATTATTTATGTCTTTACGATCGTTCCTGATTAACATATAAGCTAATTTGATGATTAAAAATATTACTAATAATAATAATAATTGATCTGTTAGCAGGTGGAGGGAGAGAGTTGTGCACGTATATTTCAGAGGCCACAGTGTGAATGTGTGATGATTAGATCTGATCCACAATGCAATTAATGAATGGTTGCTTGACTTATCGGGAAATGCCAGACACAGCCTCCTCTTTCTAATTTTTGTATGGTAAATGACCAATATTATTTCAACTTAACAATCTAAGCCGACAAATAAATGACCTTTCACTCTCGCATTGCCGTCACCCGACATCTCCTCGCCTGAGCTGTTCTCGTTTGGAATTTAATGTTATTTCGTATGAATTGATATTTATAAAAAATAATTACGTTAAATACATGTAACGATTAAGAATATAAAATAATTAATTACAAACATAATTATAAAAAATCAAATTTATATGAAAAATTATTGTTTTCATGGAAGAAAAATGACGAAACTAATAAATTATAATAAAAAATATAATATAATCACTCAAGTTTTTTCATAAATTTTTTTAAAAAAATACTAACATCAATATAAATTATTTCTTTAATTAAATTCATCTCATCATGCGAACTTAAAATTTATAAAATTTTCTTCTTATTGTAAATTCCTATACTAAGTGAGATCCTCGCTTTAAAGTTAACACTAAAATGGTGTTTTTATTATTTTTAACCTGATTCTTGAAATCTGTTTGTTTTTTTTTTTTCCTTTCTTGTCTTGAATTTTTTTATTTTTTATGAGACCTTCTCTCCCATGACAATAATATTTAAAATTGCTATTGGACTATGATTTGCCTTTGAATTTACCATGTTCATTAAATTTTTTATTCCTACTCCTTCGAATATTCTCTATTACAAAAGTTTATGCATTATCTGCTATCACTTTGTTTCGTCTTATTTTTTTTTATTGAATTAACTATTTTTAACCATGAATGGCAATAAAGTATCATTTACATAAGAATTATTAAGCGTTACAATCAAAAGTCTCTAGTCTATCTAGGAAAGTTCAACAAACAATAGTGCTTGTAAGTTGTCATTTAATACTATTTTCACAATTATCAACTCGATTAGTCAAATCTTAAAAGTCACTTCGTATTCAACAACAAACCCTTTATCATTGTATTTTAAATTCACAAGATTTCTAATCAAAGAAATTTTATTCATTGCAATTTTTCTTTCATGCATACTCTTAAAATTTTTTTTTTCATAATTTTTGGGTATCTATCTCTTTAAATACGTGGTAAAATACATTATCGTTCATTCACTTTTTAATAACCCTAATAGCTTTTCTATACTCGTTTTTTCAAGCATCATCGGTCTTGACAATTGATTGGATTATTAACCCACGAAATATAATTTTCACGGAATACAAATCAATTACAAGAATGCAAATACAAAAAACATCAAATTTACTTAGAAAATTCTCTTTATAGTAGAGAAAAATAAGACGAAATCAATTCCGAAACAATTCACTTTAATTAAGAAAGCAATACATTCGCTCATGTTTTTTCGTGAACTTGAAAAGCGAAAATATTAACTATGATATAAATTATCTCTCTAGTTAATTATGTCTCAATGTGAAAACCTACAATTTGTGAAATCTTTGTGTTTTTCTAAATTCTAATATTGTGCATGATCATTACTTTGATCATTGCAATTTTCTATGATTGTATTATCAAAAAATCAATATTAGAAAAAAATTTATTATATTGTGCATAAAAAATTCTTACTTTTTACTAGTATAATTCGTCAAAAAAATAAGAAATATCTTTTTTTTCCTCTCTCTTTTGGCAATTTATAAGAGCAACAAACTCTTATAGATTTATATGCATGTCTAGACTTAAAAAAATAAAAAATAAATAAATAAGAAAATATTTTTTCTAGTTTTGCAGTTATTCTTTTTCTTATATAGTTTGTTAACGAGTTATGTTAAATTTATAATGGCTAAACCTACAGAATACAGCCAATAGTTCCCATCTCATTCCATCTCACAATCATTTCTCTTAAAGGCTGCCATAACTCTAATGCTCTAGTCTTGAATTATTTCTCTTGACTACAGTTCTCCCCTCCTTCAAAGTCCCTCATCTTTCCAAGTCCCTTGTTCATTTTGGAGGCTAATGAGACACTCAACGGAAGTAGGATCCCTTCAACTTGCTTAATCACAATTGAGCACCTTATTGTTAATTTTAACTTCTTTCATGATTTTGAGAAACTGGGTTGGTACAAAATCTGGTGATAATCGGTGAAAAAACAAAGTTAGATCTTTTGATATTTTGGCATATGGATAAAACAACTTCAACACCCGAAATATGCAAGGAAAAAAGAAAACATGAAAGTCGAGAAGAAAATACAAACCGGTGATGGAGAGGGTTGCCAAAAAAAAAAATGAAAATGAGATTGAACGCTCGGATTGAACCCTATGCAGGAGCAGCGGTTTTTTTTTCAATAATAAGAATGCTAAGACTATTATCTTTTTTAACGTGATTAAAAGATATTTCTCAACTCACAGCTTCAAAAATTTTAAAAATAAATACTTAAAAATGCTGATTACGATAATTAAATCTTGAATCAGATCTACAAATCGACGATTGTTTACTAGTAACCTGCCCTTGAACAATGTCTTTTATTTGTAACGAGGAGAACAGATTTTGGTCATTTACAAATTGTGTTAATCTCACTTGCAGGAATTTGATTAAAAGTAAAGCTCCTTCAGTTATTTAAAAAAAAAAAAAGAGACAGCCTGGCAATGTCAATAGCATCTTCCTGATTTATTTTGTCTGTATAGAATACTCAAAGAATAACTAGTGATACGTATAGTAGTTAGTTTGTGAATCCACTTTGAGACGAGAGATAGACATATAAAAAAGAGAGAATTACATTCGTACCCATCAAAAGTGATAAGAAAATTTTCACGTTTTTTCAATTTTTTTTAATTTTCTTTCTCTTATTTCTCTTTTTTTATGTGTCTATCTCTCTTCTTAAAATGAGTATATAGAATAACTATTATAAATACTACTAAATTATTCCTAGAGTATTATAAAATTTCTTGTAGTATAGAATTTTTATAATGCAAGAACTTGGGCAGGCTATAACCGGGCCTAGAGGTCCACTTGTTGGGCTTCTTTATTGAGGTTATTCTGTATAGCTTATCTCATACAGGGTGGATCATTGATTAAGCCCAAAAGAAGATCATCATCCTTACAAGTCAGACAAGGGATTTCAACCGGAGAATCACCGAAGCAACCAGTCCCTAACGAGTGTAGAAGACCAAAATTCACAGGCGGATCCACACACCCGAGATAAATGTGGACACTCTGAACTTGCCTACTCCTATTGAACGTAGCAAAGGAGCATAATTAAGCTCGGTATGCTAGCTGGGTGGCAACAAAGGTCATGGTGTACGTTGTCATTGTATTTACTGGTAAACAGGTTAGAGGGGTAAGAGATTTATTACGTAAAACAGCGTTGTTTTTCACATTTTCTTAGCCTCACCTTGTTTGGTGTGAGGCTTAAATATAATAATGTCGCCCACCTATCTAGAAAGAATTAAGACTTCAACCAGACATGAAAAATAAAACAACCAATCCTCGTGGGATCATGCTTTTGTTTGTCAATAATACATGTTAAAAGCTTACTCTTATATGTGTATATATATATATATATGACCATCCCAGTCAAGACAAGAAAGCAACGAAGCTTGCTTGCATTTTTTGATCATTGATAGGCTATGCTACATTGAATATGCACGATATAGCGACAAAAGGATCTTTCAAAACCCCTTTTAATAAAATGATGCTCCGACGCCTTTGAACCAAATGAATGATGTTAGTTACAGTTGGTCACAATTGCTGACCAATCATCATCAATATTCTTTTAAAGTTTTTGTTGTTTAAACGGGAGGTCAAGTGGTTAGATTATACAAGGGAGGTAAGGTAAACCTCCGAATTCCCCCACTTTCCTGCGGTCCCCTTAAGACAATATTCTTTGTAGGGTGGTTTCGGGTATAATTAGTTGAGCAATGACATGCAAAACTCTGTCCTGTTATAAAGGATTCATTATTCGGGTATGATGGAGGAGGTTAGAAGTTGGCCTAAAGACGACCACAACCAATTTTCTGATAAACAATATGCCTAGTCAAAAAAGCAAAGCTTCTAAATTATCCACTTTTCGCTGTTATGCACTCACTATTCAGTACCTAGTTCATATATGGAATTCCCAAAGACTTACCAAATCCCCATAATTCTACACAAATAATGCCCAGCTAATATTGGTTTTCATTGGTTATTTTGATGTCCCATGGTGATGGTGGGACTTCAATGATTCACGTCGGCATGCATCAAACAAACTACTATGGAGGGACAACTATGAAAGGTCAAAGGCCTCCCGTATCACACGAAAACTTTGACCATCTTAGTCGGGCTTTTTTCCCCTGAAATCGTTATGATTCTGGGCCGAAGATGATTGCCTGCTCTCCCTTTAAGGTTTCAAGATTTTGTAGCTCTTTTTTTCCACTCATTTTTAATTTTTGCCTTTTTCTTTTGTTTAGTGG